GCCCGCATCGACAGCAGGTCAGACCGAGCACGACGCGAGCATTGCGGATATTTCCCTGCCGCTCTCTACTCGTGAACACGCTCCGACTCACCCTGCGTTCAAGGAGCCTCCCCCGGAAACGGACAACTTACCTCGTCCCATATTCCGGGAGCCGCCGCCTGAGCCGCCATCACCTACGTCGGCCAGGCCTTCATTCGCATCGCCCCCTCCTGAGCCAGAGTCGCCTGAACTTCCCGTACCGCCCTTCAAGGAGCAGTCCGCAGAAAGAGACGAATCTGAAAGGCCAGCTTCCCCTCGCGTGTCTATATACGATTCTCGGAGCCCTTCACCGCCGAAAACGTCTGGTACATCCCCAACGCCTGCATTTGGCGCGCGAATCGCTAGAGCTCCTCGGGTGGGCGGCGGCGGCAGCGTGAGCAGCATGGTCAACAACCTTAACAGGCGGTCTGTGCAGGGCCCACGCTCGGGCTCGCCTGGGTCCATCGGTAGTGCAGGTGGCTTGTCGCGGGCAGGCTCGCGAACACATGCGCCCCACAGTGGGAAGCGCGTCGGTGTCAACCGTTCGGCCGACCTTTCGAAGGAGGACGATGACGAGTGAGACTGAGGATTGGATCGGTATTTGCTGAGTGAATTATGGCTTCCGGACAACATTCTCGTTATCCCCTTGGTCTCTGCGAGATCCACTGTCGCATCTATGATGTAATTTTTGTCGTGGATTATGCGGTTTGCAAATATATGCTAGTATGCTCACTTCAACATGTTCTTGTCGAAATATGAACTCTTGCAACCTCCACATCGAGGATCAGGTTCTAACTGATGGGCACGTCTATGGAGAAAATACCCTAGAAATGTATCTTGATGCCAAGATTGTTTGAGACATTGGTAGGAAATCATGCTCCTAAGGACCGCCACGGGTACAGTGCTCTCCGTACCATCCGTCCACGCATCTGCGTCGTGCCCTTGCACACGTACTGGCATCTGTCGCAAAAACCTTGCAGAGTAGTTGGAGCACCGAGCTAATGTGAAGTTAGAGTTGATAATACACTGAATTAGGCAGCATAGTAAGACACAGAACTAGTACAGATACAACCCCACGCTGAGACAGATAGAATGTCCACACGCTCTACACCTCCTGCGACGCACCCTCCTTCTTCCCCTTGTTCGATTTCGATGGGAGTAGCTCGGGAAGAATGAATGGGACAACACCACCCTGGGAAATGACCACATCACCAAGAAGCTTGTTCAACCTGAAGCAACGGATCAACTCAACATGCCCGCGAAATGCTCAGTAAAGGTACGCACTCTTCGTCATTGCGGATGGCCAGCTGCAGGTGACGAGGAACGATACGCTGCTTCTTGTTATCACGAGCAGCATTGCCAGCCAATTCGAGGATTTCGGCAGCAAGGTACTCAAGGACAGCGGCAAGGTAGACTGTTCAATGTATGATGCTATCAATCAACTTGATGAGCTGGATTAGTATGTTCACGCACCAGGAGCACCTGCACCAACACGTTGTGCGTAATTGCCCTTCTTGAGGAGACGGTGAACACGACCCACGGGGAACTGGAGACCGGCCTTCGCGGAACGTGATTGAGTCTTGCCCGCCTCACCACCAGCCTTTCCAGAGGAAGATTTGCCACTGCAGAGCACATATAGATGAGTTATCGGCCAATCCAGAGCGAATTTCAGGCGCATACGCTTTTCCCTTTCCAGACTGCAAAAAGCGATGAGCAAGCGGCATCTTCATGGATATATGATGCTTTACATACCATCTGTGCGACTGATGGGTGTCAGAGGGTGGAAATGAGTCGATATGTTGTAGTAGAAGAGGAAGACGGGGCTAGTGCAAGACGCGAAGGTGGCGATGGCTTATATAGCGCGCGTGAGGGTTGGAACTCCGACAAGCAGTAAACAAGTCGCGCATGCACGTGACTCACGCGACTGGCCACGCGACTCGCTACTTATATCTCCTCTGGTTAATTGCTCTCTAAATACGCGATGAAGGCAAGAAATCCTGGAAATTAGCTTTGTTTGAGTTCTGGCATGACATGGGACGAAAGAGTACGAGAAATCTGGTCCTATGAGGGGCGCCAGCGGACAAAATTATGTGAGCTTAAGATTTGGACTATTTTGATTAGAATCGGCTCGTTTGTGCTTTCGCGTTGTGGCGTACGCTTTGGCACCTGATGTAAGCGGCTTGCGCTTACAGTTAAGACTTGTGTTTATGACGCGCGCTTGTGCTCAGGCTGCGCCACCAAATATATTCCTTCATTTCCTCTCACCTCCGTGCCTACAAGTGCCCAGGTGTTCACTGCGCAGAGCCCACCTCCTCGATTCCTCTCTCAGTACTTCCCCTCTACCAGCCCAAAATGACATGATAGACCAGGCAGCAGAATGACAGTGGCGGTGGAACATGCACATCAAGGACACTGTGCGTGGTTGAGATCTGGATGTTCTGTAAAATAGAATGGTCTGATGGGATTCTGCTGGCCGCTAGTGTAGTTACACATCCTCCTGAACAATACAGGCATGTTCGCAGTGTCTGCCTCTCCTGCAGCATCCGTGAATGGCCCGGATCCAATGTCGGTCTCTCTCATAGTGCTGGGTGGTGATGCCTCAAAGATGCAGCATCGAGAAACCCCAGGTCATGCACTGTACATGGCTCAGAAACATGAGACAGGGCCGCTTTTGCTCTGCCAGTTGAGCGGCATCACCCGTTTGCGTGTGAAGGGTGCTCTAGCAGGATACATGGCCGACGGAATGGCTCGGAATGGAGATAGTGGTGCAAGCGCGCCTGCGTGACTCATGTGACAGATCGGAACATGCCGAAATGCGTCGTGTCAATCAAAGCATAAGCATAATCAACGACCATAGGCGAATAATCCTTTTTGAGGTGCATATATACACAGAAACGTGCCGAAATCAATGCGCTATCCGATTTTAACACCTAACTAGGTGAGCATAAACCGTCATTCTCGTTATCTCGAGCACAATATACTTTTGTCCGCTCGGGCGCGCCAAATGGTCCTCCTCAAGTGAACCTACATGATGGGCGCGTGTGTCCTGGTCTACAACTCCATGATCATTGTCGGGTCTATAATCAGAAACATTAATGTCAGTGCTGTGGTACGGTTAACGAAACGCAAGCTTAATTGATGAAGATTCACGGACTTGCCATGCGTTTTCCACGAGGACGCGGAATTCTAAGAAAAGCACTGCACGAGGACAGTGGACGGCCACTGGAAAACTCGATTTGCCCCATGTTGCCGCTTCCTTGCGGGCTTTTTAACCCACGCGCTGTTCGCCTGGCAATTGTACATGCCCTTCTCGCTTTTCTCCAATAACCTGGCTTAGTCGCCAACAGCGCAGGGACGCTGGGTTCATAGCAATCGTGTCGCAAAAACGCCCTGGACAAGCTCGCCTCTGCTTCGCGCACTCACGTCCTAATGAATCCCATCATTCCTACCCCTGAACAGGTCCCGTTAATTCCTCCTTTCCTTTAATTGCTTACTGAGCGGTGGTACAGGTGCCTGTCCTCTATGTAGTACGTCTCGCACAAATCATCTAGATCCGGAGAATCTGCTCATCAGCTGCTATCGACACCACCACAACGTCTACAGATAGTAGTATATACCGTTGTCATCTTTGCATTCTGGGTGATTCCGGGCGCACGAGTCGTCATCACTCCATTGAAGCTCTTCACTATCGGCTGGCATGAGTTCTGTCATATCGTTGCTGTGAGTTTGCGATACTGCTCACGCCTTCTTATGGCTCAATGTGCCTTTTGGTGGCTTCGTTGTGCGGCTTAGGCCGTCTTCACGGGAGGCACTGTCAACAGAGTGTCCATTGACCCGGATAACGGTGGGATCACCCAAGTCCATGGCGGGAACCACCCCGTAATTCTAATCTCTGGCTACATTGGGTCGACGATCATGGGAGGCGTTTTCATGCTCGCCGGCTTCGACATCCTTGTGGCCAAGATCTTGAGCTTTGTGCTAGGACTTGGTCTGATCGCGCCGCTTGTGCTGGTCCGCAACAAACTGTGCGCCGTTATATTGTTTCTCTGTATGACTTTAACAATGACATTGATTGCATTCTAACGAACCAGAACAATACTGCTCATCATTGTATATGAGGGCATTCTGGTTGGGTTCTGGTTCATCGACCATGGGTATGCCGCCTCCCATTGCTCAATACGGTAGATCGCTCACGAGTGAAATGTTTTTAGTCAAGCGCTCCGTTGGTACTGTCTGTTTGTCGGGGTCATGAAGTACGTAATCATTCCACTGCCTGGACGCAGTGTCGCTGACGTCACTGCTAGCATCTTTTATGTCGTCTGTATGTCGATGAATGAATTCCTAGTATCCTTTACTCAAGACTCGCTCTACAGGGGACGTAGCGGACGACAAGTACTTTCGGAAGCAGAATGACTCAGATGCGACGCAATTCGCCATCATGTATCCCGTTCTACCTGCGCATAGTGAGTATTGATCACCCCGCTCTTTGCAGCACCACTCAAGCCTAACAAAGAGACTGATTTCCGCATACAATATGCAGTTTGGGCAACCGTATGGATTCTGTTCGAGATCGGGATCTTGGTCAGTTTTGTCCTCTTGGGCATCGTCGCTTTCAAGCGTACGAACGCCCAGATGTACGCTGAAGCTGGTGAGTCGCCGAATTCAACACGCGTAGTGCTGTCTCACTCGTTGATGGGGTCGTCTACAGCGCACTTCCTCCCGACGTGAGATGCGTCACGACTGATGGACATGGTTCTAGTGTCTGTAGTGTTGACCAGTATGTATGCTGTACCTGTTTTCATCACGACCTGATGACGTTGCTGGCCACATTCTCATCACTGGGATCCTCGTGAGTATGTAAATGTGCGAGGCAGACTGGTCTGATATCCCGCCTACATGATGCGATGCATGTGCACCACTATAGATGCTAATGGCATGCTTGGAGTACTTGAAGCAGTCCGCGACGAAGGATGAACACAATGTAATTGAAATAATGCAGCGAACGTGCTATTCATGATCGTGTCCTAGTATCAGCACTCAATTGCCCGTCCTCCAGAGCGGTACCTGATGCTGGTCTGAGTTGGTCTCAGTGGTGCACGTCGAGCTCATGAAACCTAAATGATTCGCATGGCCTGGATACCGTGTTCCTACATATATGTGAACGCAGTGCATGTGGACGGTAAAGGTACAGTGGTAAAAGCTGATAGTGAGTCGGTACAGAAGATCCCGCAACCTTCGTTGGGCCATGTCTTATGAGCATACATGAAGATGGTATACATTGTACAACGGGATCCTCATTCGTGCCAACGCTACCGGATGGAGGTGAGTAGAGGTGTGCAGTTCACAAGTTCAGGAAGCGTTCGCGGGAACAGAGTGCAATGTATATTATGATAGTGATGATATATTGCACATCCGACACGAACGAACGTTGATGATCCAGGTAGGCCGATGTGGTCAGAACAGATATCGTTACAACATGTCGTGAGAGGAGTTTGACGTGAGACGAGTCAACGGAGAGAGTACGTGATGAATTGGCGTAGTCCGAGTGGTATGCGATGGCCGGAAGACATAGCGGTTACCAGGCAGAGAAGCTGTCAGCTGCATGCGACGGAACTACTTGCGACTGGCTCGCCGTACGATAGAGCCCAAGATGATTGCGCCGAGCGCAGCAGCTCCTCCAGCGATTGCCATCCCGATATAGCCCTCTTCATCGCGAAATTCGTTATAGCAGAGAGCATGCATCATGGTTAAGACGGTTGTTTTAGGATAGAATAGGAGGTTTCATCAGGTTGCCAGAAAAATGCAAGATCAGGGATAGGGACGAACCTCTTGTGACACGCTGGTCAATCAAAGTAGCCAGACTCTGTGCCTGGAGATTGGTCGGTTCCTTCTCCATAAGCAATGCTGCATGTGCAGAATTTTTGTTGGTCAAGTACGTATGAGAAGCTATACAGTCGCAATAGGAATACGCACAATTGAACCTCTTGGCTTCCTCATAGTTTCCCATCTTATAATGTCCTAGAGCAAGATAATACAGACATTCACGCCGTCTGGCGGGTTCCGCTTTGTAGATCTCTAGAACACGCACAGAATGTAACGTTTGAAGAGAGTAGAGATTCATGTTTGAATCTAAGTCGGCAACATCTTCACATACCTTGCAGCAGACGCACACCCTCCACCTGATGCTCCTGTATGGGACTCTTGACAAGCCCCCAAGCATAATTGAATTTCGTTTGAATCGTAATGTGCGATTGTGCGAGCTCTTTTTGGTATTGTAGCCGCAGAACCTGGTGCAGGGCGATCGTCAATCCTCATCGGAGTAACGCGGGCGATGTATATTACCTCTAACTCGTCGTAGGACAATGAGACCTCCGCATCCGCGGCATAAGGCAAGTCTGTCGGCATCGCGATCACTTGAACAGGATGAAAGGGGGAAGAGCGGGGCAGCTGCAGCAACGAGAGGGACGAGTCCCGCAGTGCCCGGCCTGGCTGCGCCACCATTCCCGACCTGGGTGAGTCACGTGCTCGCTCCTGCAAATGAGCGCCTCGCGGGTGCCTGTTGTCGCGCGCCTTCCACCCGCCATCTAATCACTTTCCCAACCTGACTGAGGCTCATCCTTAACATTGTCTGTGTTCCTTTGAGCTTGGCTAGCAACCGAACTCGGATTGTACGCTGCTGTAGCGAGTTGTGACGAGAAAATTATGGCTGTCCTTGCTAATGAAACCACAAAGACCCCCGCTGCTCCTCTACCTAACCCGCGGGACAATGCTAAACCTGATAACTACATCACAAAATTTAAGGTCCGTTTTAATTCATTCTCAATCATTCTTCTGCTCACCCGGATCGGATAGGGTAAACAAGACACCAAGTTTGTTGAGTACGTCATGAGTCTACCGCCGTCTCCCTATTCCTGATGTTGTGTGGCTTTCCTACCTTGCAGTCCTTGCGAACGCGCTTCGAAAGCATCGATGGATTGCATGAACAGACATGACTTTGATAGGGACAAATGTCTTGATTTCTTCCGAGCGTACCGGGATTGCAAGAAGGACTGGGTAAATCCTGTGTCCCCATCCTTGTTGTTCATACATGCCACTTACATACTATTCCCAAAACACAGCTGGATCAGAGGAGGGCAGACCGTCGTGCTGGACGGCCTTCAGTATGATCAAGAATCGCCTCGCGTTACCGCGTGTTGCAGCTGTCTGTTCTGCAGGTTCATCGATGGTATATCTCGGTGCCATCTTATTGCGGGCTAATCTGCTCGTGGCTCAAAGAATGCTCCGCTCTCCTTCAATCGAGGTTATTCAGAATACATTTGTAGAGCTTCTCTGGCGGGCAGATGGAGCGAAAGATTTTCTAGTTTCACCGTAATGCTTCTTTATGTGAAGGCTGGAGGCTTTAGTGAAGATCGGAATTCGTACACCCGCTTGGGACATGTCTCACTGGTCATTAATCATCCTTCGCCGCTGACTTGTTTAAACTACTTCCCTCGTTCTATCCATGTGCTCTTGCCGGTGCTCTGTGCCACGATTTATAACCTGACCTTCGCAGATCATATGACGGTGTCAACGCTCGCGTCCACTGAATGAGGCGCTAGCAAAAACGTCGCAGCCTCAGCAATTACGCTGCAGAAGACTCTTCAAGGAAAATACGATCGTACCTCCACGTCGCTAGAGCAACCTTCTCAAGCATTTCTTCGCCGTATATCCTCATTGGGCTAAGGGTACCCCGGTAACATGGTATGTAATATCAATCTTCGTGTCCCTGAAGGTCCGTGATCTCGCTGCAACCTTAGACTGTCATGATCCGGATCTGCTGGCGGATGCATGGACTTCGGTGCCGCTTGGGCTTCTGCAGTATGCTTCCGAGGACGATGAAGGATTACGGTACCAAAAGAAGTTCGCTTGACGAAGTCCCCCTCGGTGAACATTTGCCCTTCGGTCTATATATCTGCAAGCTCACGGAAACGTCCACCGACAGCGCTAATAAATGGTCCAATCGCTCTCATGACACTGTGCCACCCACTTGTCTATCTTTTGATGATGAATAGCGGGCCAGTTGTATCGCCTACGTTTACCATTATCTCCGTTTAGTGAATAGATGCTCTTAGTTCATCAGTCACATCAGTCAATACCAACTCGGGGCGATCATATGACAGCATCACCGGTTGCAAATTGATATCGCATGTATCGCAAGCTTTGAAAGCCGTAGTAGCATATCAATCTGCGCTTATCTTGATGCTCAACAGGATACGGTTTGTGCAATTCCGCTTTGAAGGCCTCTTCACTGCCCGATTTGCTTGCTCATTCAAAGGTCGTTTGATTCAGATCACCCGTTCACCCACCTTTCTTCTATCGGGTATCGCTTTGACCTAAACCCAAAGTAATGCGGCGAGAATGGATCACTAGATCTTCTTAAGCAGGTTGAAAATGCCGATCTTCGCGCCTTCTTCAGCTAACTCCCGGAGCTCCCGTCGCGCTCTCGCAGTCACTGTCATCAGCTCGGCCTGTTGGTCGTACGCCGAAATCATTCGGCTAAAGAAAAGATCTGGTGTCGTAAAGTCTGCCATCGCACCTAGACCGTGTGAATGCTGCAAAATCAAATCAAAGACACCAAAGCGCCGAGTGCCTCTTATCCAGCGCTCCTGCGGCGGATCTATCAATTTTGAGGCAAGCACGCGGTGCGGTGGCGCAGGACGGCATTTTGAAAGATGATCAGTCGCTTTCATCGTGGCACTCGTATGCGTCTTCTCTGCACGAGAAGGTGGAAAAACTGCTCGGCGCATGCAGATGCGGCAAGCTCGCCAGACTCTGTGGGATCCCGGTGCGATCGATAGCAAAATTCTGGATGACAATACGGCGACGATTCTCGAGCTGCATATTACAGTGCACGGCGACCGCATCATTGTTGCGAGGTAACCCCCGTACCTGATCAAACCTCTCTGACGGCAACATTCCCCGCAGTAGCAGTTCATGCACATCGGATCGCGAAGCGATTGGATTGATCGAACTTTGCAACTTTATCTTTTAGTAGCCCAACATTCGGGGACAGGGTTTGACGCTGGCTGGCCCATATAATCACCCGTACCCGTACTGAATATCCGAGGTCGTCCGAGTGTTTCTCTGCCACCATCGACACTTCGACCATGACGGCGGTCCCCATTGTCAACGCCAACCTGGTAACCGTGGCTCTGGAGAGTCTCCTGTATGGGGTCTTCTTGGTTCTCGCTGCGACTTCTATGTATCTCCACCTCGCTCGGGCGGGATCTCAGCGATCATCCTATGGCTCCATGTCAGCGGCATTCTTCACGCCGGTCATCCTTGGTTCGTCCTTGGTGATCTGTACTGTGACTGGGGTGAGTGATTAAAGTTGAGTCCGATGGGCCTATATTGATGAACAAAGCAGCACTGGATCATGACAGTGGTTCGCCTCTTCGATGCATTTGTGAACTGGGAAGGGGGGACCATGCCTATACTTTATTATTCCGACCTTGCCCTCACAACCGAGGTGGTCAAGACTGCGTTTCTCATCGCAACGTTGATCACATCCGACGTACTCTTTGTGAGTGTTTCGTCATTACGGGAGGGCGTCAAGGTCTCATGAGGGCTTTGAAAGATTTACCGACTCTGGACCGTCTGGGGCTACAACTACTATGTCATCATTCTCCCTACGTGCACAGTTCTCGGTCTCTGCGGTTCGTCAGAACGTTTCACCGTATACGCGATTGATAGTTGACTCTTTTCATTATGTAGTGGCGGGACCGGGCGTGTGCTACCAGTTAAGTCGGGTAGCATCGGGTGAAACGGTGTTCGTGAAACAACTAGCGCGATGGATTTCTGCTGACTATGCGTTCACATTCGCGTGAGTTCTTATGACTTCCGGTTGCTCTGCATATCGCCCGTATTTACATCCAATCCTACTTCGACAGCACAAATGTCTATAGCTCTAGTGAGTATGGTCCTTTCCTTCTCGTTGCAGTCAAGTGATTGACTCGTTCCTACCTATAAGGTGGGATTGCATGGCGAGTATGGCGTGCACGTAAACACGCAAGTGCATACGGAGGCGGCAACCTTATGGTCTGTCTTTCCTATCTCCCATGTCCTGTATGGCCTGCTGAGCGATTCGAAACAGCGAGTTCTCGCGACAATCGTAGAGAGTGCCGCGTTCTATACGTACGTCATTATCCCTCAATATTTGTTCGATTATTCAAAAGAAATGGGTATAGATCATACACAATCTTCTTTTTCGCCGCCTACGAATCGAACAACAACATTCAGTACACTGCTGTCGATACTCTGTGCCCAGTGGCCGGAATCGCGTTTATGATGATCAACGTCCGTGTCGCTCTGGGCTGGGCACAACAGGCACACCCGTCTTCTAGCTCGTCGGGTGCAGTCATTTCACGACGCGGCGCAGAGCAGTCGTTCGCGATGCGTCCGGTGGCAGTCGACATCACAAGGGTCGTGCACAAGGAGGACGATATGGGCCAACCGATAAAGAGCGACTACTCTTCCGAGGTTTGAGGCTCCTCGCTGTGCCGCGATGGCACGCATGGAGTGAGGCCGTGTACGTGTAGAACATGTACATAGACTAGATGGAGGGCGCTAGCTTGGGTGCCACCGTCCAAGGGCTTAGCCGAGCGAGCAAGCGATGGCCTGATGTGCCTAGTGTCAGGGTTACCATACACATTCACACCTGTTCTATTGCTCGCATATTTTATCACTATCTTTACAGCATCATTCTTTCGTTTTGTTTGAACGTAGCGGAGGTTCACCCAAACTCCTCGACAGCTAATCTTTTATCTTCCACACAGGATAGTGTTTGGACTTTGTGCCGCACGGATATGCACATGGGCTTCCTTGCTCAATGTTGAGTCTCGTCCCCGCCTCGGTGCGTCCACACATCTGCCGCGAAAGCTGCGTTGCTCTGGAAGGTGAGAGAATCGGAATGCCGCGCCAGCCCAGCAAAGGCCCTCAACACGCGCCGCGACCACGGTGCACATGGGGAAGAGAGGTTAGCCGTGTCTCCATGACACCATCCATCAGAACGTCAGTTCACAACTTCACAAGATTGGAGATTGGCCGGGCTTGCCTATCCTGGAGGTCCATTACTCGTCCTGCATTGAATGTTCACCCGACATGCGCCACCCACAGGCCTATCGTTCAGGACATGCAGAAATGTTAACTGGCGACAGCTGCACGGGTGGCAGTGGGACACGATGGCAGTCGCGACTTGCGCTCCTCATGAAGGGGGCCGAGGTAAGGTTGCTCCGATGCCAGATGCTCGGCGGTCCGGGCTTCAAAGGCCTCAAGTTCCGAGTCCTTGTGAGTCTTCCTCCATCCAAGCTCTCAGCCCGCACGATGAGCCGTATCTCATATCTGTCACTGAGTTTCTGATGTGTCCGCATGCTTCCTAGTCGCACACTCGCGGCAGGCTGTCACCATAACGATTGGCGTCCATACTACTAGTCAGCGAGTGCGGTCGGCCGAGTCCAGTCGCCGCCGCTCGATAATCGACGACGTGCGTGTGACTGAGTACATAGGAGTTGCTGTATGGAGGATGCAGAGGGTTGTGGGTCGCAAGTGAGTCTTGACAGGCTGCTGACGAATATTGGAGCATGTGCTACTACCAGTTGCCGCCGCACTAACTGCGTCGGGGGCCCAAATGCGACTACATTGAATTCTTTTAGTTTCGGCTTCCATCAGATGGCGGACTCCCTTAGCTCAGTTCCATGCCGTTTGGCGAACCGAGAATATAAGTAGTGCAGTGATGTACAATGCATGCCATTTCGTCTACCTGGGTGAACGGCTGAGACCCGGAATCGAATCTTGTGTTCCATTCTTTTCTGAGCTGCCACTACGTACAAGTAAACTCCTGCGTGGAGCCAGTTCTAGCGCTGTTCAGGTCGGAAATGTAGCCCGTTGAGATTGAAGTGTTACGCTCAAGAAGGTGAAGTCTTTCAGTCGAGTGCTTTCGACTGACATTAATGCAGCTGCTCTCTTCAAGGAAGCGATGATATTGCGAACTGGTGGGAAACATCTATCCAAGCCAAGTTGGTCGACGTCAGACTGTGAGGAACTTCGCAGCTATCTTCAAATTCAGCCCTGCATGACCAGAATCAATTGCGGTTCACCTCGTAATGACGTTCTTCATACATGGTAGAAGAACTTGCGAAGCCTCCTCATCGTGTCCCACGGCGATCCTGGAAACCGAGACTCCCTCAAACTAACATCTCTATCCGGCTACCTTCCGTTCGGGACTTATTCATAAGGTGGAGGATCGGCGCCCTAGATCATACGGAAATTAATGACCTTCTTCCCAGCGCTTCGTCGCGATTCTCGGACCTGCTCATGCTCAAAGCTGGCCCGCGTCACCACGCTGAGTCAACTCTGAGCTTCAATCGTTGAGAGCTTTGCGGGTAGTGCGGGCATGGGGCTGACCTGCCTTGGATGGATAGATTGAGAGCATCCATACATTCTGTTCGCGACGCTCATCTGCCAGTCGCACAACTTTCCAGAGCTGGATGTGTCGCGTTGCAGCGACGATGGCACGCCATATAGCTGTCTGGTTTTGACGTTATTCTGGTGCGTCCGATCACCTTAACACCGCCCTGTTTTTGAGCCTCTTCATTTGTGCAGCATAAAGCCTTCGACGTAATGCATCGCCACTCTTCACATGTGTCGACTACCTTGACGATGTCATGAATTTGTATTGAGAAGCCTGATGTCCTCGATCACTACGCGCCGAGCTGGCCCAGTTGGACCCTATCCGTCCGCCCTTCACAGCCAAGGCGCGAATCGTCATAGTCATTCTTCTCGATGCGGTGCGCCCTGATCGCGGTATACCCGAAATTGTGTATTGTTCGTGATTGATCCATCCCGATGTGTCCTCTTGCGCCAATCTGTCGAGGTTCCGATCATGCATATTAAAGAATGATCGCATGTTGAGCTATTGTTCTTATCGCATCGAGTTGCTGACGCACCTGATGTACATGCAGGCGGTCGCGACGAGCCGTTCATACCTAGAGCATGAATGATGTATCATTGGTCGCAATGAACAAGAACAACGAGTGAGCAGAATTTGGCATACTCTGAGCTGCATACGTGTCAGCGGCATATTATTGACTACAATTATGGTGATTCTGTCCCTGCAGGAGGCCGGCGCCCTTACGTGTTGATATGTAATTCGGGTGAGCCGCACGCCTTGGGTTCCCTCCCGCCGGCGGTCTTTCTCGCTTCCCCGCGGGGAATTTGTCTCGTACCCGAGCCTGAATCGTAGAAGCATCCAGTTGTGGATGAGTTGTGTGCGATGATTATGGAGATACCCGAGTCGTGGGTTCCTATTTGGACGCCCAAAGTTAATAGTGGCAGTGTGCTGTGCGTGATGTTGAGACAATAACAAGCATCACATTGTAGTCTGCATATCGATCGACGAGGATGATCCCTTCCTCCACCCAGCGCACGGCGGATCAACATCTCAGAGCGACCGTGACTGCTGTCGTCATCCGATATCACTTCATGGGACAGAAGAATCTTGTTGTTAACTCGCTGTGCATGCGCCCTGTAGCAGAGTGACACAACGTTGACAGTAGTTGGATGGGCATACCTCGAGTTTGATGCGTTTTGCAGCTCGCGTCAGGAAGCATGATATGCTGAGCCGCTCGAATGAATGATTGAGCGAAGAACAAGGTAGCAATTGCGCATATGCTCAGTCGACATCTGACCTTGCGCGTTCCAAACAGGGGCACAAGGGCATGGATATGTCCAGTTAGCCAGTTAGGCGCACGTGATTAAGCGCCGAATAGTACTTCCAGATGCGCGAAATTTCCCCGCGACTCGCTAGCTGCCCTTTGAATAGAGGGCCACAAAGGTGCAGGAATGAGTTTTCTGGTCTGTGCAAATGCGTTAGGAACAGACAGGGGGGATGAGAATTGTGATTGCAAATCGCCCCCAAATATTGAGGGCGTGTGCATTTGATTGATTTGGGCGCGGCGTCCCTTGCGAATTCGACTGCCATCTTACCGGGTTCGCTTACGAGCCGGAATCTGCTGCTTCCTCCAAGTACATAGGCACACCCCAGAATGGCAAAAGCAGGACATGCAAGAAGACTTCTCACTAGCTGCGAAGCCGTACGAAGGTGCGGCGAGCGATGGATGTTGTGATGGTGCCGTAGATTGGATACATGCACCAAAAAGGTCCTCCCATCCTTGCGATTTATGGCCTCTCCTTTGAAACAAACTGATCGCGACGGTTACGTGATCGGCCTAACGCTACCTCAAGACTGGGGCCAGCGGATAAAGACCCAGAACGTCGCATATAAGGTCCATCTCCCTCCCTCTGCCCTCCGGCTTTCCCGCAACACCCACCCCAGGAGGGACAGGTCCTCATACACCTCAAGTGCTTTCTACTCTATTAGCCTGCACTTTGGCTGTTTCACAATGGTGTACGTTTCTCTCACCGGCGCCAACATGGGTACTGTTGCCGTCGAGAGTTTCCTTTACGGCATCTTCCTGCTGCTCTCGTCGACCTACATCTACCTGCATACGAATCGGGTGTCCAACGAGAGCGTAACGTTCGATGCCCGGTGGCGAAAGTTCCTCACGCCGCTCTTCATGTCGGCAATCCTCATCACAACGACAGCAACGGCAGTGAGTTTTTCAGACGTCGAAGCCGCAGCACCGGTTGACGCTCCCTCAGCACTGGATTCTTACTGTCGTTCGTTTCTTCCAAGCTTTTGTCCTCTTCGAAGGTGGCGCGGCGCCAGAGCTTTTCTATGCCGATCTCTCTCAGACGACCGAGGTGGTCAAGACGGCTTTCCTGATCTCGACCCTCATCATCTCCGACATCATGTTTGTGAGTCGAGACAGTGGTATCTCGTCTATGACGGTCAAGCTTATAAATGCTAAAGGCATATCGTCTGTGGATTGTCTGGAGTTACAACTTCTGGGTTGTCATGGTCCCTGCTCTGGCTGTGACAGGACTATGTGGTGAGTAGCATTCGTACAGGCGCTGAACGCGTGCTCATAACTGTGCAGTATCCGGCATTGGCATCGTCTATGAGCTCACCCGCTTGTCGACTGCGGACACTGTCTTTGTGAGCCAGGCTGCACACTGGATCACGGCGGATTATTCCTTCACCTTCATGTACGTACCTTTATTAACTCCGATACTCCAGGGCAAAGGCTTAATCATAAGCACACTTTTAGTACGAACGTGTACAGCTCTTGTGAGTAGGGTTGCAAGGGCTTCTTTCATGTTTAACTCAGATTGCCATAGGCTTGATAGCATGGAAGGTGTGGCGGTCAAGCCGGAAGGCGAGTGCGTATGGTGGAGGCCAGTTGATGGTAAGCGAGTTTGTTGATCGGAAGTAGCCCCACGTTTTAAGAACCTGCTTCACCTATAGCGAGTCCTCGCTACGATCGTTGAGAGCGCCGGGACTTACACGTGCGTCGTCTTCTGATCATCGCTTCTCATAGCGTGTACGCTGATCTTTTTCCCTTCACAGGCTCTACGTCATCGTTTTCTTCGCCGCCTATGAGTCAGGGTCGAACTTGCAATACCCATTCGTGGACACGCTCTGCCAGGTAGCTGCCATCGCATTCATGATGATCAACGTCCGCGTCGGCCTGGGGTGGGCACAGAAGGCACATCAGACTCACAGCACGTCGTCGAACATCATCCCATCGCGGCGTAACGGCGACCAGTCTTTCATCATGCGTCCAGTGGCCGTCGACATCACACGGGTGGTGCAAAAGGAGGACGACATGGGCCAGCCAATCAAGCGAGCATCCAGCGACTACAGCTCCTCACCCGTATAAGGGTGCTTGGTGCTGCTCGCTGGTTCCTTTGTTGGATCAGGGTAGAGATTCTCCTCGGGTGCTGTTTTGCTTCGCTCGCTTCATTTTGCACCCAGGCGAGGCGCGACGAGGCGCGGGGGTTCATGTTTCGTGTTGGCTTTTGCAGGTTGCCGTTGCCGTTGCTGTCGGGTTGGCTGATGTAGCAGGAGCCGCGGGCCGCCGATGATGGTGTGCGTCCGCCCGCTTGACTGCTCCGCTAATGTCGAGCATGTGTACTTATAGTATGTATAGAGTATGCAAAGCGTATACGTTCACTAGTATGGCACCGCTCCGTTCCTTTGTCACAGGCATTCTTTTGTGCTGCTCTGCCAGTCTTCGGTCCCTTCATTTCGCTGGGCCTTTGTACTATACCGTTGTAGGCTCCCGGAATCGAGAATTTAAAAGAAGCTGAACGGTCTTTTGCTGGTTGCGCATACACTCTGGGTCAGAATAATAACACTACATGACCGCGTGCTGGCAGCAGACACATCGACGTTGCATCGACGCGTTTTTCACGCGTCCGACTCTGCCTTTGGCTGCCATGTTTCAGATTGTGCATCAATTGGAGACGACTATATATACCTGATGCATCCTAAGCCTCAGTCCATTATTTTCTCCACCAATATCCTGCCAGCCCTATATATGTTGCAACCACCATTTTACTCATCCATTTGGAGGCCAATCAAGATCGAAACGTCACTCTGGAGGTACCCGATGCCGACAATGTTCGAGTTCAACATGTCAATCGCTTTCTCTCCCGCCTCCTCGCGTATATGATCCCTTCTTTCTCTTTTTTTTCCCCAAGAATAACTCTGACTTTGAGGACATTCATATTGACTATGAACACTGTTGAGGTCAATCACCTTGCTCCCCCTCGGTGCCCCACTCCGTCAACCAACCATCGCTCAGCGCTATCTCCTCGTCAAGTCGGAGAAGTGCCGTTCAAGGCGTTCCATGGTTGGAAGACGGCTGGGACGGACTGGGATTATCCCAGGAGAGCACCGGCCTCGCTCTTCCTCGTCAATACTCTCCCGTCCTGCATCTCCGTCAGCTTGCACCAGGTACATCGTCTGTCCTAGCGTTGTCTGGCATGGTGTTTGACGCCATCTGCACCACGATTTCATTCGATGGCAAAGGTCCTCCGCAATCCCGTGACGAAGCTCTTTGTGACCGGGGACACGAAGGATATTCCCGAAGCCCTAGCACCGCACAGGATTCCACCGGGTTCGGTACCCTCGTATCTTCCTACATCTAGCCTCTCACGCCATGGCTTCCAACGACATTGCGATGGACCTCGAAATCCTCTTTGGTCCTCCCCCAGCTCAGCCTCAGGCCCCGGCACCCAGTGCCATTCCCTCAGTTCCTATAGGCACTGATGACCCCCCTGCCTTGCAGGCCCTCGCACAGGCCGTGAATGCTATCAATGGCCTTGCAGGCACACAGATCACCTTCGCTGCCAACCAAGCCTCCATCCAGGCAGTTCTGGGAAACCTCGGAATGTTTTTGCAAGGTGCAGCGCTCGCTTCGGGCACCACCACCTCGAGCGCTATCCGTTTCAAAGATCCACACACCTTCAACGGTACGCTCGTGGCCGTAGAAACTTTTCTCACCGATCTGCAAATGCCATGCACCTCGCTCGTCGCCAACTCGTGTCAGACATTCGACGTTTCGGCAGTCATGCTCAGGATGCTCAGTCTCGGCATCATCGGAATTGTCGACTATCACCTCAATGCAGCCTATGATAAACTGGCAATCATGTGGTACATACCCCCGTATTGCCCCGAGAACATTATCGAGAAGTCGAGTATGATCCCAGCAGTAGACCCTCCCATCGGGCTCATCCTCATGTTGACTCAGATGGTATCTGGCCAGAAATCCCCGACGCCCCCGTCTGTCGACCCTCCTTTCAGGTTGATTCTCATGTTGGCCAAGAAAGTGATCGACGCAAATGTACGTGTATGGACAACTGACTAATGTGTTCAGACGGCTCACAGTTTGGAGGAGCAGGCTGTTGTTAAGGTCCATCCTGAAGAGTTCATTGAGATCAAGGACAAGAGCAAGGGGAGGAGAAGACGACGGAGGACGTTAAGGTCGAGGACGATGACACGGTCGACGAGGACAAGGATGAAGTCAAAGCGGAGGGCAGGGTCGACAGATGCAGTCGCGTGAAACGGAAGAAGCCAGAACCTGATCCCATCAAGAAAGATGTCTCGCCTGCTGCTGGTGATGGTCCTCATACAAGCTACAACTAGGAGTTGGTCAACCAGCTGCTCCACAAGCTGTCCGCGGTGATCTCGCAGGCAGTGATCTTCCGCCCCATTCGGAATTGCGCGAGTCAGACTCTCGTTCTCCTACGGCCACTGCCACGAAGCCCAAGTACCCTTCGGTCAAGCCTGCCCCTGCTAGCCCGGCGGTTCTCATGATCAAGTCGCTTCTGGTAGTCGTGGCTCTGGCGATTCTAGTTCCTCAGATCCTGCTGGTCACTCTGGTTGTGCTACTCGTAGTTCAGGGCAATCTGCTCCTCATTTTTCTTGCTCTTCTGCTTCCGGGGCCCATACTGCACCTACTAGTGGTTGTCGGTCTCGTCCCGCGCACAACTTCGGGGCGATCCACCAGCTGGTGTCAAGGCAGGTTGCGGTGAACTCGCAGTCCAGCGGTAGTCCACCCCTTTCTCGCCGATCGGACACGCCTTCCACTGTCACCAGTCCCACGAGGCCTGTGAGCCCCTCAGTCAGTTCTGGTTCTGTTGGACCATCTGCTGCTCCTGATCAAGTTGCTTCTGGCTCTGGCGACTCTGGGGTCTCTGTCTCGTGTGCCCCAATGTTGGATTCACCTGATCAATCTGTCCTTCTGCTTCTGCTGGTGTCACTGATTCCGCCCTTGGAGCTCAATTCGCTGGTCTCTCTGGTTGTGGTTCCAATTCTATGAGTCCGTCCCCACTGTGCATAGGCCTGGTACGAGGGCTCTTCACTGCTGAAGCCAAACCCGAACGCATCAAAATCGGTCGCTACGTAAGCGTACAGCAACGTGCTCAGCAGAACTCTTCCTGTCCTGAACCTGCGCACGATATTCAATGAATGATTCGTCATGTACGTTCTCGCTGCGTTATGTTCCGGTGAGTGTCCTTTGAATACCTTCCACTGCCGCCGTCGTGCTTATCATCAGCCGTCAAATATAGGTTGGATATCGTCTCTTGTCTTTCATCATCACAGAGTACACCGCAGCAGCAGCCTGGGTTGCTATTGCAGCGCGGATCCAAGCAGATTCACACCGTTTGCGGCCTGCTTGGATACGTCCTGTAGTCGCAATCGTGGTGTGCACGGCTTGCCTGATAGTAATTAGCGACCAGACTGTGTGGGATTTGTATTCATAGAACAAACAGCGCGATCGCAATACGTGTTGTTTGCCGAAATTATCTTGCAGCGTCAAATAGTTTGCTCACTGTCGAGTTGCTGAGTTTTCATGTCGCTGTTCGACTTTCTTTTCGCGGATACTCCGCATCTCAAGCTCAAGCGGCATGCTGAAAATCAGCGGTTGTTGGTAATGATTGCGTAACGGTCAATGTGCGGTACGCTGATTTGGATGTCATGACTATACCTTCCACGATATGCTTTTAAGAACATTGGTTTGTACATGGAAATACAACTCGCCTCGCGGTGCATCAGATAAGCATGTGGCAAGGTTTGCATTGTAGGCTATCACGGCAGACATGGTGCGATTTATCAACGTGGAAAATTGTGTCTAAATGTGGATTGATTTCTTACACGCGCGACAAATATTTGCAACCATGGCATTTCATGTCAAAAATGTTTTGACATTCCCACGCTACTTTTCACACTGATAAATCGCATCATGTCTGCCGTGTATGGGGATGATCGTGCCTCTGTCTCAAAACGCGTGACGTCAGTAGACGCGTCGTGACGCGTCACACCGCTCACTCTGCGCTGAAACCTCGGCAGCTCTGCTCATGCACCCCAGGTCGAGGGGAGCCCCTCGAATCCGCCAGGGTGCGTACACCTGCGTACACGTGCTCTAACAGCGTGCCTGGTCGATCATCGATCATCCCTGAACATACGGCCTCCCAGAAAAGGCAATCGCTAAGAAGTTTTCCCAAAGCCCCGTCGACCAGTACAAGAATAGGCAGCAGTCCAGTGGCTGATGGCTCTGCGCCAGTCTCCTCCTCATCCGCCCTAGCGAGCGATAGCTTCGCCCTCCGGAGTGCACGCACGCACCGCCCAGCATGTCTAGCGCCGTGGAAGACTTTGGGCCGTCCCTCTCGCGCGTCGACACCAAGAAGGACTCGGAGTTCCTCGAGAGCACTGAGCCGCCCGCGCTAGAATCGCAGGAGGTCGAGGAAGTCGACTCGGAAGAGAGTGCGGTTGCAGCACGTCCGCCGCTGGATTACAGCTCTGCGGGTGCGCTGTGTAGGAGTCTCTGGCGCCGGTTTGAGAGCATATGGACGAAGCGCTTCGTGCTGTCGCTTCTGGCGGGCCAGCTGGTGTCGCTGTGTATCACCTGTACGAACGTGACGACGACGGAGCTCGTGGGTAGGAACTGGGTGCTGCCCACATTGCAGACGTGGTTTTTGTGAGTTTCGATTAATAGGCGCCGAGGTGGAAGACCAGAAGCTGATTTGCTCCAGGTACTTCTCGATATTCTCTGTCTATACTCCTTATACGATCTACCAGTGTGCGCATCATGATCTAGGGGGTCTGTGCGGGACTGATGGTGTGCGATAGATGGTTTCAAGGGCTGGTTGAAGATGATCTTCAGGGACGGGTGGAGGTGTAAGCGTTCTTGTCTGTATGCGATGCTCCCGACCGCTGACATCGCGACACATCAGACATCATCCTCGCCGCCTGCGACGTAGAAGGGAACTTTCTCGCAGTCAAGGTACCTCCTCTCCGTTCCCGCCGCCTCACACCCACCTTACCTCGTCCACCTCACAGGCGTACGGTTACACGACACTCCTCTCCTGCGAGCTGCTCGACGCATGGGCGATCCCGTCCTGCCTCATCTTCTCATGGCTATGGATGCGTCCAAAGTACAAGTGGTCGCAGCTCCTCGGCGTGGTGGTATGCGTGGGCGGGCTGGGGATGCTTGTCGCGTCGGATGAGCTCACGGACAAGGACTGGTCTGCGCTCGACCGTGCAAAGGGCGACGTGTTCATGATCGTCGGTGCCACGCTCTACGGCTTCAGTACGCGTTCTAGCCGTTGTGTGAGGGCGAGAGACTGACGGTGCATGCAGCGAACGCGACGGAGGAGTTCTTCGTGCGCAAGTCGCCGTTGTACGAGGTGGTTGGCCAGTTGGGGATGTGGGGCATGATCATCAATGGCATCCAAGCGGCGGGCCTCGAGCACAAGGCCATGCGCGAGGCGACCTGGGATGGCAAGAACAGTGCGTCACGAGCTCCACGCGTCGCTTTTGATGTTAGCTGACTGCCTGCTCTCTTTGTTCCCAGTCGGCATTTTGGTCGCATATACCGCGTCCATGTTCATCCTGTACACCGTCGCGCCGATGCTCTACCGCATGGCGTCGTCCGCGTACTACAACCTGAGCATCTTGTCGAGTGATTTTTACGGGCTGCTCTTTGGGCTGTTCCTCTTCGTGCGTATCTCGCTGATGATACAGCCTGTCGAAGAAGTCTCTGACGATAGTTGGTCGTGACAGCATTACCGGCCGTATTGGCTGTACTTTCCTGCGTTCGCAGTGGTGATTATCGGGCTGGTCATTTACTTTTGGAGCGCACCACGTACGTTCGTTTACATTTGGCGTCATGCATGTCGGATCTCGTACTCACGTATGATGCGCTTCAGCCGAATCTCAGGGCAAAGTCGAGCCCCGTGCGCCAGAGTATGTGCAGAGAAAGCATGACACGATCAACATTGTTGTAGGACAGGTGTAAGACCATATGATGCCGGGAAATGGCCAGGCACGACACGATGGGCGCGGGCGACGATACTTGCGACCTAAATGTAGCAATATACTAGGAATAAGATAGAGGTTGGCTGGTTGGCTTCTCTATGTGCGATGCGGGATTGGAAGAGGCAAGAGACGGTGAGTATCGATTACAAACTATGATACACCGGGCTGTCCATCCATAATAACCAACGAAAGGAGAGATCTAGACGAGGTGTCGGGGCTCGGACGACTTCTCCTGCTCCCGCTTCTGCTCATACTGCTTCTTCCACTCCTCGAACATCTTCATCTGGTCGTCCTTCAGGGCCTGCATCTGTTTCATGTGCTCCTCGCGCTGTGCGCGGTTCTCCGCCAGTTTCTACAAGAGAAACGTTCTTGTCAGTCACAATGCACAATGAACAACATAAATTGCTCACCATCTTGAGATTCTGCACCGTCGCAAGCACAGAGTCGAGCGTCGCTTCCGATAGCTCGGAGATCTGCGTCTTCAAGGATGAGCATTACGTGCAAAGCAGCAGGAACGAGAGAGCGACTCACGGTGTCGGTCGCCTGCTTGCCAAGGGCCTGGATGCGCTGCCTGTCCTCGTCCCAGCGATCCGAGGGCATCGGCGGGGGCGGGACGTGCGGTGGCTGGATGAGCGGTGGTGACTGCGCAGGCAACGTCGCCTGCTGAGCATCCTGCGTCGGTCCGGCGGCGGGAGCGTCCTTCCGTCCCCAAGGACCATCGTGGTGGTGGTGCCAGCCGCCCCAGCCGCGGCGCCGCTCGCCGTCCGTGCCATTAGCATTATCGGCGAGACCGTCCTTCCGTCCCCAAGGGCCATCATGTTGGTGCCAACCGCCCCAGGCACGGCGCCGCTCGGTGTCCATGGTAGCAGCAGCATTCTCGCCGGGTGGTGGGTAGGCCTTCTGTGAGATGCATGCGCGCCAGCAATGGCGGTCCTTCCAGTCGGCGGCTTGGTGGGTCTTGATCCAGAAGCTGGCGGAGGCGGCGCCGACGACGAACCAGAAGAGGCGTGGGAAGAAGCGGCCGCCGCGGTGGCGGAAGGGGCGCATGCCCCACTGGTGGTGGAGGTAGTGGTGGTTCATCATGCCGTCTGGCTTCGACATCGTGGGGTGGGGGTTCGCTTAGATGAGAGTTAAAAACGCAGATGAGGGATGGAATGGAGGATTGGCGTTGTGCACTGGTGTGATGGGGGAACACGCATCAGAGGCAGCAATTTATACGCCAAAAGGACAGACCGTGCAAGGTTCTTGACAGGGCGTGCCGAGGGGGTTCGTGTCGAGTGTGGCGGGCGCGGGCGTGACGGATGCGCCGGCCGTGCGGGTGGGCTGCAGGCCGAGGCGCTGCGTAATGCAAAAGCTGCAGTTCGGTGCTTGGAATCAGCTGCCGGCGGACGCGACATGCAGCGGGATCAGTCCAGACATTAATTGCGCGTCTCTTCGGCAGCCGCCGAGGCGGCGAGAACACTGCCGCCACGATCACGTGTTCGGTGGCCCACCCTTCAAACGCCGCCAGTCGATGAGGTGGCGGCAGCCGATGAGGGAAAAGGTCGTCAGCGACGCCCGGCCGCGTAATTGATGATTCGTTTCGTTGTATCTGGCTCGACCACTATTCCTCTTTGTCACAGCTGTGCTCACTTAGGGACTTGTGACCGTTCGAGATGAATCTACTCGTGAAACTGATCGGAGAAAGCGACCTGCACATCCTTCATTCACTTTCCATATGATGCTCTGCACTTCGGCTCAATTGAGAGGCAGTCATTGTTGGAGCACCGGGTGGGGCAGCGTATGATGACTTGGCATTCTTTAAGTCTTAGTAAACCCCGCGAGAAACGGTGGCTTACTCCGCCCACATTCGCAAGCTGTTTGAAAGCGTCTCCAGAATTCATGCTATCTGGTTGTTCAACGTTCAACGTTCAGGCATCAACTAATGCCAAAGAGTGTCTTTGCGAAGCGGCAAGCTTCTGATGTATTGACTTTGCGCCAAATCCAATGCAGGTTGAGTCAACAAGAGGTCGGATGCTACTGCAACCGACTGCTGTATGGAAAGGGAACACAGTGCTTGATGACCGTCACGGTTTGACACTTGTCCACGTAGGTTGCGTCTGGTCGATAACAGGAGAGCTAACTGAGTGAGCGTTTGAATCCGAGTTCTTTTTTGTAGGATAAGTGTCGGTAACTTCCGAAGTAAGTTACCAATTTCGGATCTTATCAAACCCATTTCCTCTCGGTGTTCAAGTTGGTTTGGATCGACGTCCTTTCTCTGCAGCCACAGCTTTGCTTCCCGTCCGAACGTTTGCAATCATGGCCAGTGCAGCTGACGAAAACGGTAAGCAACCAAGCATCGACCTCTCCATATCTCTTTCATACTCCTTTAGTGGCAGGATTGAAGAGAGTCGGGCCAAAAGACCAAACAGGTGACTACCCTCCTGGCCCCCCCTCGTCCTGCGTTTTTTCCAGACCAAAAACGATGAGCTCATGGTGCATTCTTTCCCCGCACCATGCACTTTTTCATCTGTAGCTAGCAGCTCGCATCTGCCTGGTCCTCCGTTCTCGCCACTCGCCCGTGATGATGTCGTGCCGGAGTCCATACTAACAGCCCTCGACCCCCCATCCGAGACATGTACTTACCGTGCCCTCTATTTCTCCCTTTCTCACAGACCGCTACCCCGACCGGTACCACTCGTCTCGCCACGAAGGCCGCGGCCGCGACTACGGCAGATACCGTGAAGGCGACCGCGACCGCGAACGGGACAGAGAACGCTATGAGCAGCGACGACACGGCGAGCGTGATAGGGACCCGCGCGACAGGGATCGCGAGAGGGAGCGCTACGCACGTGGTGCACGCGGCGAATACGAAGAGCCTCAGCGGCGCATGCGTCACGACGATGACCGCCGTCACCGCGTCCACGAAGACCACAACGCGGGAGCCCCCGGTGGGTTCCGTGGCGGCCGAGGGCGAGATGAAGCGGATGGAGGCGACCGAAGAGGGAGAGGAAAACATCGCGATGGTCTTGGAACACCGGAGAGAAGGTCCCCGACTCCTTCTGATGCGGTGCCCATATCACAGAGAAAACGCAAGGCTAGCGGTTGGGACGTGCATGCGCCCGGCTACGAACAGTACACCGCCATGCAAGCGAAGCAAACAGGTCAGTCTACGTTGAATGCGATATATTGATGATGAGCTCTGACATCCCACGTGTTAGGCTTGTTCAACCTCCCTGGTGCCAATCGCACCCAAATTCCGCCTATTCTCGCCATTCCTGGTCTCCCTCCTCCCTTGCCCGTGCAGAGCTTCGGCATGGGTATTGGTGGCAACCCGAACCTGTCCAGGCAGTCACGCAGACTGTACATTGGCAGCATAACACCCGACATCAACGAGCAGAACCTTGCCGAGTTCTTCAACTCCAAGATGAAGGAGATGAACATCGGCACAGGTGCCCCGGGCAACCCGGTGCTTGCTGTGCAGTGCAACTACGAGAAAAACTACGCATTTGTTGAGGTTCGTTTTACCCATATTAGCACTGCTCATCTCGCATTCTCACGTAACATCATTGCTCTAGTTCCGCAGCGCAGAGGATGCAACGGCTGCCATGGCGTTCGACGGAATCATCTTCCTTAATGGGCCGCTGAAGATTCGTCGCCCCAAGGATTACGGTGGCCCGGATGCCATGGCTCCGAACATGCACGTACCGGGCGTCGTATCGACGAATGTACCGGACTCGATCAACAAAATATTTGTCGGTGGCCTGCCGACCTATCTCAACGAAGAGCAGGTCATGGAGCTCTTGAAGAGTTTCGGGGATTTGAAGGCTTTCAACCTCGTGCGGGAAAATGGAAATGGTCCATCAAAGGTGGGTTCGGCGCAAACGAGACGCATACTCGACGATTCTGACTTCTTCATGTAGGGCTTCGCGTTCTTTGAATACGTCGATACTGCCGTGACGGACGTAGCGATCCAGTCTCTGAGTGGCATGGAGCTGGGCGACAAGTATCTTGTCGTGCAACGTGCTTCTGTTGGCGCGAAGCCTGGCCAGTCACCGATCCCGGAGATGTACGACCAAGTCGAGATTCCTCGTCCTATCCTTCCCGCCGGAGACGTTGAGGGCACCGACGCTCGCATCCTGCTGATGCTGAACATGGTCACCCCGGAGGACCTCACCGACGACCAGGAGTACGCCGACATGTATGAGGACATCAAGGAGGAGTGCTCCAAATACGGTGCAGTCGAGGACCTCCGCATTCCGCGCCCGGTGAAGCGCGACAAGGCCAAGTGGGGCGAGGGCGGTCCAGACAGCGCGATGGCGGCTCAACGCATGGACGAGGCGGCTGGCGTCGGGCGTGTGTATGTGAGGTTTACGGAGTCCCACAGCGCTGGGCAGGCGTTGAAGGCGCTGGCTGGGAGGAGCTTCGCTGGTCGCAGTATCATTGCGACCTTGCTGTCGGATGATAGTAACACCACACCTCCTCTCAACCTGATCTTTGCACCGCAGCCGGAAGCTCCTCCTCCTTTGCCCCAGGATTGAAGTTGCGGATCGGATGGTTCATGGGAGCGCTCGGTCGAGAGGTTTCGAGATGTATGTGCGTGCGAGATGTTGAATGCTTCGGTAAATCTAACGTAGGTGCTACTGTCAGCTTCTGTGTATTTGCTATGGATGCTCGTTGATACAGAGATTAATTTCACGACAATAAATCGTCCCTTGTATCTACCACAGCGACGGTATGTTGCTGAAGTGGATACGACGTTCTGTTGCCATAACAGCGCAAAACGACCTAATATCATCCCGGAGTATCTGTCGTTTCGTGTGCGCATAATGACTTCTCAGACATTCGGGCCTCAAAGGCCGTTTTCTGCAGTAGCGTGCGGTGGCGACCACGGAAGTATGTGGATGTCTAATATGCAGGTGCACTCGCGCGGACGATGCATGATACTGTTGATGCCGCTCCCTAAATCGGCACGCGGAAGCCCGCGGAAATCGCTGCTAGCTCGGGGCGTATGGATTATATTTGTCTGTATAGTGTGCGCGTTCACGGTTATCTGACACTCCAGGACGAAATGTATGCGTAATCGAGCGGAAATCCATCGGTTGTATGTGATCTACTACTTGGCTTTGATCAACCTTAGCTGAGAGAAGACCGTTTTGGAGACAGAAAAGGTGCCTGGCGCCCGGAGAAAAGCAAAGATTATGACATTGCTCGAGGAGAATGAGGTCAGGTCGAGGGAGTGGTCGGCGCCTTGTGCTTTGCTGCATCGCGCCTCGTTGCGCCTCGTTGCATCACCTTGCACGGACAAGTAGTGCTCCTTTGCATCACTCTGCATGGCGCGGAAGTACTTGTTCCCTGGTATATAATCTTTTCGTCATAGTCTTTTTATGTTGGTCCTGTTGACTTTCCCAGCCAGCCTGCTGCACGGCCAGGAGTTCGGGAGTCGCCCGCTCTCTAGAAGATGGCTCCACGGGGCCAAACCGATGGCCCGTCCCATTGTAGCCGCGCCCTATTATATACACGCGCGCTACTACTCTCCCACGCCGGTGGCGCAGGTCGCACCGGGGCCTCTCGCATCTGCGCTCCGTGCCCAGATCAACAGGTCCCTCATTGTATGATTCATTCTATTCAACGTATTGAGATACAGATACAAAGACCCGTTTCATTCCATTCCATCCAGATCTAGTCCGAATGTCAAGTCGTCCGTGTCCATGCAGCCATGAGACGTATGAAACACGGTGCGAAACATCAGAATACGGACAGCCCACAATTGCGACATAGCAGCTACTTCTGCGGCCTTGACCTAGTGCTTCGCTCTGTCTTAGGTGGCTTGTCGGGGCAAAGGCCTCTTTTATCCTCGACCCACTGGCTGAAAAATGCTGGCATTTCTGCTGCTCCCATCATCTGCTGCTTCCTCAAGTTGCTCTTCATCGGGGAGACCAACTGACGCCCGTCCTGACCGACCTTGCTCGTACTATAGATCGAATGCCAAATGTCCACACGCGCCAACAGAGCCTCCCAACTGCTGATATTGTTCACCGGTCCCAGTGTCCTGCTGCTCATTCCAGAGCACCAGATGTCATACGTTCGGAACCGTGCATCTTTTGCACGCTCTGCAGCAGGTGGCTGTGGTCGGACGTGCACCGCCGCCGTCTTAGCGCCGAAAGCGAAGACGATGCGAATGATAGGAACAGGTGTCTTGTGGTCCTCTGGCTCCTCTCCGTCGAACAACTGAAGGCGTGCGGGATCCATCAGGTCATGCAAGCTCCAGTCAGGCTCGTGCGTGTCGCGAGAATCAAGCGTGACCTGGACCAGGACCAAGCCGGTGTTATTGATGGAGAGTTTTGGACTGGAAGCACAGAATGCAAACATGAGGTCGACGATGCCCGACTGACAGTTACCACAAATTATCATGGCTGAGCGGCTGTGGAATCGAACCATATACACGCGCTTGACAACGCCGTCGTCGTGTACCTCGAACTGGTGGTTGAAGTGGAAGCAAGCACCCTGGAGATCGTCCTTCAATGTGAACTTTTTGGACGTCGGCACCTTGCCGCCAGACGGCCGAGCCTTGAGGATGTCTTCCCTGGCGGTGGGGAAAAGGGCGGTGAGGTAATCCAATAAAGGGACGACGCGGGCCTCCTCTTTCCCCTTCCCATGCTCAATTGCCTTTCTGACCATGGCATCACGATGCAGGAGCAGAATAGCTGAGGCTACAAGGTCACCTCGGTCTCCCACATGGATGGAGAAACCTGACAAGACTGGTACAAGAGCAGTGACAGGATCGAAGTCTTGCATTAACTCTGCTGCGGCCTCAGCCAAGAGAGGTTCAGAGCCCGACGTGGACTTCATCGTCTTCGATCTCTCATCGACCTCCAGGCAGATGCGCATATGCGATTCCACCTGCTCCCGCTCCTCGGGGAGAATATAGTTTATTGAGTGGAACTGGAGCGCAAGTCGCTGGGACAAACAAGCAAACTTCTGCTGAGAAGTCAGCAGAGTGTCGAGGGACTTGAGTTTGCAATCCTCTTTCTCTGAATAGATTGCTACGATGTTCTCATTGAGCAACTTCATTTTGGCGAATGCAATTATGCCCTTCTTGACATCATCCGATCCATGCTGATATTGGGTTCCAAGACTGACACACAGATCGTCAGCAAGTAAAGATAGGAGTCATATTCATCACTCACAGCGGACGGCCATGATTCGCCATATAACCATCCTTGACAGCCTCACCGAGCAAAAGCATAGAATCTGGATCGAAAGGATTCTCCTTCATAAGATGGTCATACCCTAGATCTGTATATGGAGGGATCGACTTGATTACGCCGAAGTTGATCCTTGTCGATTGATCATGGTCTTGCGCAGGTGTGAACTGATCAACCTTCCCCATGGTAGAGAGGAAAAGGGAGAACACTTCCATAGTGTTCAAACCCCGCAAGGCTTGTCGCAATGGACGACCGCTAACAGGCGCGGTGCGATTCCCAGTAGCAAAGAAAGCCAGAAGCACGAGGAGCCGGTTGGTCTGAACTACGACAAGTACGAGCGGAGTGACTAGCGAGATGAGAGGAACTAGAGCCACCAGCGTGGCGACTATCAGAATCGACTGGACCATGAGAACCAGACGGTCCAGTTGGGGCAGGCCCGACTGCAGGGCACTGTGGTTTCCTGGCGGTGGCGATGGGGGGACGAGAGTCCGACTTGCACGACTCCGAATGGGATTGAAGATGGTTGGCTTGCGAGATCGCCGTGGCCTGCTTATGGAGCAGCTGGTTGACTGACTCATAGTTGTAGCTCGTACGAGGGCCGCCAGCAGCAGGTGAGACATCCTTCTTGACGGGACCAAGCTCTGGCTTCTTCTCCTCCATTCGGCTGCATGTCTTCTTGAACTCGAGAGGCATGCCGTCGATGTTGTCCTCGTCGACCTTAACATCCTCCATCGCCTTCTCCTTGCCTTGCCCTGGTCTTTCGTCTGGATGCCCTCCTCGGGAACGACCCCAACCTCAACCTCCTCCTGGACCATCTCCGGCTTGACAGGGAGGGCCTGTTGCTCCAGACTGCGAGCCGTCGATGTACTAGTCAGCCGTCCACACATACCTTCGCGTCGATCACCTTCTTGGCCAACATGATGACCAGCTTGACTAAGGGGCCAACAGGTGAGAGTGCTTTCGCCTTCTGGTCGACCACCTTCTTGGCCAACATGAGGATCAATGTAACAGGAGTGTCGACAGGCGAGGGAGAACTGGATCTCCGGCCGAGTACCTTCTGGGCCAACATGAGGATGAGTGCGACGGGAGGGACCACATCCGGGACCGGATTCGACTGCTTGACACTGTCCTTGGGGCGGTACAGGAGCATGTACCGCACGAAAGCCAGCTTGTCAAGGCCACATTGAGGTGATGTCTATGACCCCGACGATGCCGAGAGGACCGAGCACCCTGAGCGCGACTGCTGAAACCGTCGGGACGTTGTTGAACGCGTCCGGTGCGAGCCCGTACGGTGCTAGGGCTTTGAGAACATCCTTCGCGTCCCCGGTCACGAATAGCTTCGTTACGGGGTCGCGGAGGACCTTTGCCATCGGCTGACAACGCGGTGCAATGGCGTCAGCCACCATGCCAGACAACTTTAGAGCAGACGACGCACCTGGTGCAAGCCGACGGACATGCAGGACGGGGTTGGATTGACTAGGAAGAGCGAGGCCGGCGCTCTCCTGGGACAATTTCAACCCATCCGAGCTGTCTTCCAACCATGGACCGCCTTGAAGAGCACTTCTCAGATACTTCTCCAACTTTACCAGGAGATAGCACCGAACGACGATTGGTAGACAGAGGAGGGTACCGAGGGGGAGCAGGGGTGTTAGCCTCAACGGCGTTCATAGTCGATATGAATTGTCGTCAAAATCAGAGTTGTTCTTGGGGAGAAAAGACAGGGCGGAGAGATTTATATCTTGACTGGCCCCAAATGAACGAGGGATATGAGATGCAGCAGCAAAGAAGGCTCGAGAATGGGCTCCCGATAATGTTTTCATGCTGGTAGATCTTGAGCAGACTAGATACGACCACAGAGCAGCGTGAGCAGGCGCGAAATCTTGGAAAGACTGCAGAAAGCAACGCTGGCAAGACGCGAGGAGACGCGCGGTTGTGGCACGCCTTACACGGTCACGTGGTTCCACATATTCCGCCGCAGAGCAAGGCTCAATCCCAGGTGAACGACCGACGAAGCTTGAAGCTTTGAAGCTCAAGACCATGTAGGTGGACTTTTCTTCTCATCTAAGTACAAAATGGATTGCCCAGCATTCAAGGGGATGGGAAACCACAGGAGACCCATCTAGCGCTGATGGATACTCATGTAACGCACGGTCCTCATTGCATGCCGACTTCCAGAAGAGTTATGCATGTAGCACCTCACAGGCGCATCAACCCCACTAAGGCGAGAAGTACTATCGGAGCTCGTATACGAGAGGACAGTTCTGCCTGTTATAGGCTATCGTGACACCAACCCCGAGGCTCCACTTTCAGCGCGGCATCTATGATCTATGTGGCACCTTCGCCACTATAGCATCCCAGAGTACATCATATTGTCCGCATATAAGTTATCGTGTTGAGGGCTGTAAAGTCTCAGAGCATTCCCAGGTCGTGGCTCTGCCGAGACGAGAAATGCGACATACCATGTGTCGTATGCTGAGAAACATCCTCCATGCCATCTCTTGTAGTTACAGCTCACGCGTAAGCACGACTAATAAAAGCAACAATGCCGCTGCAGACGTTCGCATGAGATTCGAAGGTGTCCCAAACGTACTGGTTTGCTATAACTCGCGATTCTTTGCAAAACTGCCTGTCGTAGCGCAGTATAAGAGGGGTCTGAGGCCTCTCATCGTTCTGTCCGCCTCCGATTGCCGTTGACATTCCCTGCGCCCGAGGTGCGAAATATCGGCAGCTGAAACGTCCGTACATGACAATTGACGTTGATGTCGACCGCCTCGGTAGAGCCGATATATCGGAGACGTTCGACCGTGAGTACACTTTGACTATTCAAGATGTGCAGGTACTGTTTTGACCTCCGAGTGAACGTAAGATGCATGGAAGCAGCATCATGTCGTTCAGGTGATGCGCGTGAGGATGAAGAGCCGCTTCTTCATCAGATATCCTTGTGCCGTTGCTGACGACGATTTCCACGACACGGGCCGTCGTGGAAATCCGCTGATCCTCTGGTGTGTGCACTTGGGCGATGCGGTAGGCAGCGAATTTGCGGAGAACAACGCCGAGTATGACGTGCAAATACGAGGCTCTGATTGGCCGCGCTGGGTGTGGAAGAAACCGATGCTGATGTAAGCAAGCCTTCGGGCAGGGCGACCGGACGGGTACTCTCTACTGCAAAACACAACCATGGCCAATCCTGCCTCATCAGGCACGCTATCTCCCGCCCACCCTCATTTCGCCCGCCTCGACGTCGCCGCTGCCTGCAATTTTGGCGTGGCACGTTACTCTCATCTTCCGATCCGCTTCACCGCCTCCTTCCCTTCCAGGCTTCAGCACTTTTCCGACCTCAGAACCACCACCAGGACCACAGACGAGGCCATGCACGATGGCGAACCTTTACCAATTATTTCTGGCAGATGCCCCTGCGGTGGAGAAGGCAGCATCTCAGTCGCCTGCGAGCAGTGCGCTGACGCCTGTGCCAGCCTCCCCTGCACCGCCGAATTGAGCTCCGAGTGCACGGAGCAGTGTGTTGTCGTCCCCTGTAACGACGCCCATCACGACGACACACCTCTAGATAAACCGTGCGAGCCTTGTGATTTGACGTGCCAGAATGGCGCGGATTGTACCGGCCTCGAGGAATTTGTGAGCCTTAATCTTCGACTGCCTGCAGGAAGCTCACCGATGCCCCTCTCTTCTCAGTTTCAATGCTGCAACGACTATCACGGTTACCTATCCGAGCCGAGAAACTTCTCCACAGACACGATACAGCCCAACAATACCTTCTCTTGGGACCCGTCGTTTACGGCGCTCCTCTGTGGTTGCACTGATCCTCCACAACCTGGGCACCCTCAGGCTAGCCACAGTAACATGAGCTCAGTGGACTCCACGTCACCGACCCCACAGCTCACACCAAGTCCCGTTTTCCCTCCCGCGTCCGAGCCCACCGCACAGCCTAGCCCTGTCATATCTCATGTCATATCTCAAGCGCAGGAACGAATGCCACAGTACTATCCCACCCCGGAGTCGACGCACTCGCCGCGGCCCCAGACCCTTATGCACAAATGTCAATGGGCGAACTGCTTCGCGGCGTTCAACTCGCTCGGCGAGCTCGTCGGGCACGTCAACCTCCAGCACCTCCGCCTGCCTTCACCCTTCTCGGCTGCCAGCGGTTCGGAGCTCGGGACGATGATGCAGATGCAGCAGCCAGTCCCGGATGAGAACTCGCAGGCACAGGCGCGGGCGAATGCACTCTCCTGCCTGTGGGCGGATTGCCAGATCTATCCGACGCCGCAGTCGATTCCGGGCCCGTCGACGGGCAATTCGATTGACACTGCGTTGGGCATCCTCGCGAGCCATCTGCTCGAGGACCACTTAGGGCTGCCTATACGTTCGCCGAAGCAAGAGCAGAATGCAACACAGCCGAGCCAACACCCGCAGACAAAACAGCATTCGGACCCACCTTCTCTTTCTGCGATGCAGCCTCCGGCACCGTTCGCCCAAGGCCTGCCGACGCCGCGTCCAGAGCATGACTGCGCTGAGTCATCGGCGCATGTCTGCCGTTGGACTGGTTGTGGACAGACCTTCCCATCTTGTGATGAGCTCACCGCACATATCGCAATGACGCATGTCGGTGGTGGCCGGGCGCATTATGATTGCCATTGGGATACTTGTTCCCGCCACGATGATCACGGATTTGCAAGTAAGCAGAAAATCCTCCGGCATTTGCAAGTGAGATATTTTCGGCGTCTATCTATGGCTGTGAATTTTTGCTGATGCTGAAAATTGCCAGAGCCATACTGGACATAGGCCGTTCCAGTGCGAGATTTGCCGACAAAATTTCTCCGAGGCCGCGACGTTGGCACAGCACATGCGTCGTCACACACAGGAAAGTAAGTCGAATTCAAGCTATTGGCTTTCTGCTCCCTTTCAACGGGTCTCCCTTCATAGAGCCATACGTGTGTGACTATCCCGGCTGTGGGAAAGCATTTGCCATCACTGGAGCATTGACGATCCACAAGCGCACCCACAATGGCCACAAACCGTTCAAATGCACCTATTGTGACCGGTGAGCAACTCTTAGTTGAGTTGACCGTATTTACCTACTGGATTCTGACAGGGCCTTCGCCGAGTCATCGAACCTTTCGAAACATGTGCGTATCCGATCCTTTCTCATCCTGATTGGCTGACCGACTGATTGGTTGCCGTTGTCGCTGGTAGCTGCGCACACACACCGGTGCGAGGCCGTATTCGTGTGCAGAGCCAGGCTGCAACAAGTCCTTCGCTCGGCCGGACCAGCTCGGGAGGCATCAAAATGTCCATAGGAAGAAGACTGGTGGGGCTAGCACTGCGAAGGCGGCGGGCTGACATGCGAGAGATGGGTGATGGACTGCGTAGACATTGCTGGAGAAGTGGCATTTTTGTGTATAGTATGATCTACTACGTTCCAGTTGTCCCGTCGTTCGAGGTCACCATAGGCTCTCGAACAATATAGCTTTGCGTTGCGGTGCACGATGAGACCGATTGCGGGCCGTCTGTCCGACATAGTACGCTGTTGAGCGTGAATATTGCGCACGAGCGTTTTGGCGCAAGGTTTGACGGATGACGGGCCGTTCTGTATGGTGTGATAATGCTGTTTTGTTAGGATGCTTAATCCCCAGTCCATCCCAACCTGCATAGGTCCCTCCTACATTCTTCCGTCTCCTTCTTCACTCGAGCCATATCTTCGACAATCTGCGCGAACCCGCCCTCTCCTCCACCCACAAGGAGCATTAAGTTATCATATTCCGCTATGCGTGCGTCTAGAGCACGCTCTTCTTCTTCCTGTTCGCGCTGCTTTGCAAAGAGTTTCTCATGTGCAGCGAGGAGTGCATTGTTCATCGTGCAGTCTGGGTCTGACCGTGAAATGTAGCCATACAATGCGTTGTATGCGCGCGTGCGGATGAGAGAGAGCTTGAGGAGGCTGGCCTCAATGGTCGCGGATAGAACGTCGGCTTGTGTGGCCCGAGTTTCATTTAGAAGCGGTGGCAGGGTCGTCAGGGCTTCCACTAGTTGTTCTTGCAGGCGAGGATGAATCTATATGCGCTTCTCAGACCTTCATTTACGGTCGGCCGGAATACGCCACTGACCTCGTTGATTTCGGTTACTAGTTGGTGTATCTGAGCTTGAGCGTCTTGGACAGCAGATCGCTCTTGCAATATTCTTTCTTGCTGCGCTCGTATCCGTTCTGGGAGCGCATACGCGAGACGTAGCTGCTCCTCCGCATTCCCAGCTAAAAATTGCAAATTAGTCAATGACGCTGGCGGCCGTAGGGGAGACATACCACATTCATCTGAGTAGTATTCTTGCATGGCACATAACGTTTTCTTGAGTTCCGTAGAGACTTGGGCCTCGATAACGGATGTCATCTAGCATACAATGAGCTATCATGAGTATACATCGGACAACAAGGTACCAGGTCGCAAAAGGTCGCTATGATTCTATAAATCACTGCACATGCCTTACAGGAGACAAGGAGATGAGCCTCCTGAGATCAGTCAGAGAAAGGCCTCCTGGCATGGGCTTCCCGAACACGGGTTGTGGAACCTTGCTCTCGTCTGAGTTGCTCGGCGAATCTTGACTCTCAATGGCACCATCATTCAGTAATACTTCAGCCGACACATATTGAAGCCAATCGAGTATGACGCGTCTCTTTTCAACAGGTGCACATCTTGCCGCACGTTCAAGATGGTCACCGAGGATCTTGGCTTCTAAACGCTTCTTGCTATTACTCGAATCTGAGAGTTGTTGAGAAGAGCTTGACTCGGCCTATTTGCATAATAATGACCTGAACGCCCGGAACAGACTCGATAGTGCTCACAAGCCTCATGTCAGTCATACTGGAAAAGACGTCTTGGAGAAAAGTCGACGAGAGAGCCAGGACATGCTCGGCATCGGTGGCGACGACAAAAAGCGCGTGACGTCACGCGCGATTTCGTATTTCGTACAGTTACGTCACGGATCACAAAAACCAACCATTATGATACTCACTAGCCGCATTTTTGGAAGCAAAGGGAAATGATATCTCTCCTCCGTATAATGCGCTCGGCTAGCTTGACACTATTATGTGACAGCATTATTCTATAGTCAGTGTGAAACGATTTTGCGGTGGCCCCAAACTACAGCACTTGCTATTTGGGGAATTCCGGCACGTGGACAGGCGTCGCTCTAAATTTAGAAGGTACCGTTTCTCTCCTTCAAACCTCTTCAAACCATGCCGACGGCGCCCTGCTAGTTGATCATCGTATATTCATGGGTATATGCGCATATATATGTGTACAGAAGATCTAACGTGCGAACATTAGCAGCTGAACAGCAATATTTACTGATACTTTGATTGTTATACCGAAAACCAAGAGAACATGCGACACAATGGCCCGGACGGTCTACTACGAGGAATATCATAAACATGCAAGATATGAGTCCGTGATTACTTAACGCCATACATATGCAAAGGAACGTGGAGGTCTGGACCATCAAGAACGAGTGGTGCGGAACAATGCCAGTAAGTAGTCGAAAGCGCCGGAGTCCCTAGAAGACCTTGTTGACTTGATGCTCGGAGAGCTTGATATGATAGAAGCCTGAGCACAATATTGGCGTGGTTTGTCATTTTTCAATCGAATGAACGTGCTAATAAGGAGGTCGTACAGATGGAGTGCTGTCTGTTCGGCGCTGGAATAGCCGATCCCAAAACCCAAGGTTGCGGCTCAGTGTAGTGATTGATGGCGTTGCGACGAGCTGTTCGTGCTTCATGTGCTGATCGCCGATACTGAAAGTATAAGGGCGTTGAATCGTGCGTGAGTCGTCTCGTTTGGCCCGTGTTGGCGCGTCAGTGTTGATACCCATCCAGTCGTCGGCGATAGTATTGCGGGCGTCCGATTGTCCAAAGTCCCCAAGATTCTCATGCAATTGTGGTTGCACGAGTCTTTTATTGCATGATGAAGTATTCGCGTGATGTTCAGGGGTGTCATGCGAAGGGTGTTGCAGTGCCGGTTCATAGTCTCCAATATTTGCGTCCTGCAAGTGTAATATGCGATCAGTTAGTGTGATGCTTATTGTGTGCTTAGACCAACCATCTGATGGACAGTAGGGTGATATACCGTGGAAAGCTTTTCCCGGTGAATGATTGAAATCTCGCGGTCATTTTCGACCTCTGGCACGAGATCTTTCATTTTTTGTGCGCAGCCTGCCGAAAACCTACAAGTAATGTCGTCGTTGAGGACGCCTTCGATATCTTGGACGCATGCTGAGAGGCTGCCGAGAGCGTGCAACAGTTCTCTGTGGCCAATGGACCAGTAGTTGTCTTCACTGTCTGCAGTCAGGATTCGCGTATTAATTGCTCTCGATAGGTTGGGGAAATCAATATCGGCATTGTCCAGGTTCTCCAAGCATGTGGCAAAACGACCGCTGCTTACGTCAAAAGAGGAATTACGGCACAACGCTGGAAGATGACGTACTCTATTGCAGTCAGTTCTTCCTCAGAATCTGTGCCAATGAGGTCATCGATGAGTTCGGGGAGTAATCCGTCGTAACTGCAAACTGCAATCAGATGCGACATGCCCACACGCAGACGGTGGACATACTCGTCATTCGAAGGCTTTGCAAGATCGTCATCGTCTTCGAAGAATGAACGTATTACCTGCTCACTACCGCAAGAAGGCATTCTAGGCCAGCAACAGGAACGATTCAAAGGAACAAACGCACGGATGGTGAATCGTGGCGCTCGGGCTTGTGCTGTCTTCCTGCTGCACAATGGTCTGCATGGTGCTGGTGTCTTCGGGATTCTCGTATTCTTCTTCGAGGAGGTCCAACTGTGCTGTGAATTTCTTCGATGGGCGTTGTCTCTGAGCTGTCTCTAGTCTCTTCGCCTTGGCTGCAGAGCGCTTCTTCAGCAGCTCCGCGGCGGAAGGCAGTTTGAAATCGATGGTGCGGCGACTGGCGAGTACCTTCGGCTCGCAATCTGGGCTGAGGAGGTCGTTCTTCGAGAGCTCGGTGGTGATAGGAATGATCCCATCGGGGGTAATGAACTGCTCTAGAGGTGCGGAAGTAGGACGGGTGATGACGATGGCCGGAGGGTCGGCCTTCTCGTCGTCGGACTCCTGGTTAGTTTCTGGGACTGTCGGCTGGACAGACGGTGAAACAGGAGACGGAATGGTTTCTGGGATGATTGTTTCCGCGGGCGGCAGTGCAGCCGGCAGGGAGGTTTCTGCGGCGGGATGCTCTGGGCATGACGGCGTAGTCGGTGGAGTGGTGGGCATCTCATACAGAGGCCATGGGATGGCAGCAGTCGCCTTTCCGGCGAGCATCTCCTTGACAAGGACGTGCAATGGGACCCCGTCCTTCTCAGGTACAGGGGGAGGAATAATTTCATCGGGCACTTGTTTGTTGTGGGGAGTGGCTGCGGTTGCCTCAAAATGCGAACTATGGATCAAACAAGAGCACACACCCTGTTTTGGCTCTTCCCCGATGCTCAAGGTTGAAGCATCATCGCCGGAGCGGCTGATGCTGAAGGATCTGGCACTGGCTGCGGGAGGGGTGACGGGGAGTGGCTTATCGTTACTGACGCGTTTGAAAGGCGGGCGTGTGGACTTTGTTGGGGACTGGAGGGGACGGGAAGGACGAAGAGTCAGTTTGACGGGGGCGCGTTCCACTGCAGGCTGAACGCGTGCGGAAGATGTCCTAGTCGGTCTGGCGAACGAGGGGACTGTGTTCTCCTTCCCGACTTCAGGGAGTGAAGTTGGACGAGGAGAACGGGTCGATTTGTTCGCTGCCGTTGAGGCCTTGGAGGCAACCGGAAGGGACGCGGTGCGGACATGCTGGCGGTAAAGGATAAATGATCTTTCAGCTATCGCGAAAACGGGCAAAATCAAGTTCACCTTAGAAGCAGCGATAAGGCCTTGCCTCTGTGGGTGCATGTGAGTAGCCAGATCCAGAGAGTCTCGTGAATGCTGACCTTCGAGGCTGGCTGTGCGATGTTCCCAGTTGTGACAGTCCTAGCCACCTTGGCAGCATAGGTGGCGGAAGGACGTGTGTGGCGGAGGTCTGGGACGGTCCTCGACGGGAAGGTTGCCACGGGAGGTACAGGGCGAACAACGCCCGACTTGCCACGAGCAGTACGCGGAAGAGCGGGTGCTGGGCGAGTAGGCGTAGGACCACGCACGGGAGCCTTCTTGACAGGCGTCCCAGAGCCATGGCCCCGAGGGTGGAGCGACTTGGGGTTGCTGGAGTTCGACATCGATGATGCTGACAGGACGATAGTGATGGTGTTCACTGGAGAGATTAGAACGGCACCTGGATAGCCATGATATACTTCGTCGGAGGGCTGACACTGTCCCCTGCATAGTGTCAGCACCAGCGGTGGAGATGGCAGCCTCACTGTCTGCCTCATCAATTCGATGATCGACCGCCGCAAGCCTTAGTCGCGATCCAAATCGATCGATTGGGAAGGATGATACTAGTGCGGCGGATTTTCCAGTCATCCATTCACGATCAGCAAGAGATGAAGGAATGTCACAGAATTTGCTCATCTTGAAACCCATCGTATGCATAGGAAAGCGACGCTCTTTCCGTAGTCCGACTTCGCATGTTTTTAGGTCGAATGTCAGTACGGATTTATGAGAACTGGCAATATTTCTTCATTTTTGAAAGCCGTTGGATGTAATATTATCTTTGAGATGAATATGCTAGAGACCCATTACCAGTTCATGCAAACGCACAACTTCAATCCGAAGTCAAAATTGTTTCTTTTGTCCAAGTCAGTTTCAGGTACATTCCAGACATTGCTACAACAATTGCACTTGTACAAGCACGAATGGTGTACAATGCGATTGCAATCGTACAACCGCTACAGCGAGCGCACAGCAAGCACTTAGATGTGGCAACCTCCGCGAGAGAGGAAAAAAGCAAGACCCGCGTGATCAGTGGCGCGAAAACGTTTGCTAGCCTTGTCAACCTATGTAGTCGCAGAAAGTGATTGCGAGATCGACCTTCAAACAGATTGGATAACAGCTCTGTACTGCAGTCTAAAGGGCGCAACCTACGTTGTCAGCGGAGCATCCGACCTGCTTGCCCGTCTGGTCAGGCTCAGTGAATGCCGTAGAGCAGGAAGCGGAAGTGCCTGTCGCGGTAAATGAGCAAGCGCTCGCCTAGAGCTGATATCTAGGTAGAAACTCACAGTCTGCACCCGCGCCATCGCAGCCGTTGTAGCAGCTGTAATTCTTCCCGTCAACCATTGAATGAAGTTACCACGCGAAAGCATCGAGGCTTACCCGAATCCGGCGGCAACGTTGAACTCGTGACTACAAGCCCAGATCAGGACTGAGAGACATCGTTTGGGATAATCGGTCACTCATGGAGAAGTCAACGAGATGTCGGCGCTGCTGTAGCAGTTCACAAGGCTTGCTTCTACGAGTGTGCAATATTCGCCGTTGTCACCGCAGCCGCCCGAAGAATTCAAATTAGCAATAGAGGAATATTGTCCACTTCAGAGTGACTGACCGGTTTGCAGGTACCTGTGACGATTTCGTTTCAGTGAGTGTTGGCACCAACATGTACTGCATACATACGCGATGAGTCCATCCAGAGCACCATCATACGTGTATGCACCGCCCGTCGACAGAACCGCACCGCTCGAGGACCTCAGGTAAGGCTATACGTCCTGTCAGGTCTGAAGGACAATATATACGATCGTGTATGCACCAGCCGTCCCCGTGCCGCAACTGATCACGCGTTCGTCATCAGTGACTAGTGTAGCAAATATACTATACTTGAAATCTACTTGTTCGTGAATGTAATAGTGTGCGTCTCCGCGTTGACCTGCACGAGGGCAAGAGCGACGGAGATCAGAATAACGGAGAGCTTGGGGAACATTGCTTGGGCGAGAATGGATGCTTCAGGATTCCAAGAGCGATTGAGAAGGGCTGGAGTGAGTCGTTGCAGGACCTGCTGGAGAGATCCCTGTACAGAGCATATTTATATGCGCCTACAATGGCCCTAGGGTCTCCACGAAGTCGACCTGGAATCAGACCAGACAGTAGAGCCTCATGGGACTGAGACACCCATCAACGGCGAGGATGACACGGCCGAACCGCTTGACGTGCCTCACAAGAGGCCCATATGCAACATCGGGCAGTGGCGTTCGCGAATGCCTCCCACTCGGCTGATAGCTGTGTCCCGTCGTCTGCTCTCTTTTGCAGGCCGACGGCTCCGTGGCCGAACCTATGATAATGGCCGTAATAATGACAGATTGTTGGCCCGTATGTCGGCATATGCGCATGGCGATGACGAGGTGACAACCTCAGAAACAGAGGTGCAGGCCTCGTCGGCTTTGCAGAGAGGTCCCGGCTGGCCCAAACACACAGCACATTGTTTTTGATGAGCTTGGGACTCACAACGTCTGACGGATGGCATGTACACACATGAATGGTGGTCAGGTCATTTGCCAGTTTGTATGACTGCCACTATGCTTACCGATTCTCACTATGCTATCTAGATCCCAGCATAAATGCGCATTCAAAGCAAAGAGCTGTGCTCAACCAGGATCATGACGCGTCTGCTCTCTGCTGGTAGCAATCCTTCGGGGAGAGACCCAAGCGCGTTGATTAGCCGGATCCGGAGACCTAGAGTTGCAAGACGAGGAGAACCACGCGGACATACAAGAGTGCAGCCGGTCACGTTGTCATGTAGCATCTATACTCGTCCATCAGCCCGCAAGATAACTCGGAGCATCTGGGCCTGATGGCAAGCATGAATGATACACTGTCAAAGCACCGTTTAAGTGATGCGAATGTCAGCGGCGGACCGGGAGCGTGAGGACTCAGAGCGCGCTCCTTGCGCTGTTGCACCCCCACGACCAAATATTCGCGTTGCGGTTTTCCCGACTATGAGACAACTAGAGATATTTGAATGATGAGCCGCGGGGGGCCCATTCAGTCAAAGATGAAGGCTCGAGCACGAGAAGGAACGCACTGTTCCCTGTCGCTACAATAACTAGTTGCCTGTTGTCAATGGATGCTCGCCCGCCACATGCGACCGTTTGATGAGCAAACGCCCTATCTGATCCGCATTCAAGGGACATGTGAGATCAGCTGCAAGTCGTGCCAAGATGTCGCGAGTGTCAGAACCGCTCCTGAATATTTCAAGAACATAGTGGCAGGGTAGTACCGAGACAGCGGAATGAGAATGACATCAAAACAGAGGGATTAATGCCGCCTTACTCCTTTGCGCAAGAACAGATGCTATGGTCGGGCCAGTGCGGAACTCGTCTGATTAACGCCCTCGTAGCTCACATGGCAAAGGGGTGTTTACAGACACGCATGGTACGACTTGAACGAGATCATCATCAAAATATAGAGTCTTTCTTTCCCTTGAGGTTGTTGCATCGATCACCAACAGAGTATCTCTATCATCAAGCCTTCAATTTCCGAGCTCAGTCTATGTACCTTCGCGTATTGGGAGTTGTTCAGCATTGCGACCCATAGCAATGGATCAGGGAACTATGTAGGAGAGTTTCGTCGCCGCATGTTCGATTGGAGATTGACCTTGATAGCCGAATCGGTTGTATCTTCCGGAATTCGATCGAAGGATGCAGCATCACAGCATGATGGCAAACATGTGCCACACTTGCCATCACTGATTCCCCGCCAAAGGGTCTCGTTCTCTTAGGGCCTTCGGCGATTCAACTTGGATTAACGTGCAATGGTTGGCAAGCGGCCGCGTATCGACTCACCACCATCTGCAGCTCGAAGGGCTCGCTCGCGCTGGAGAGCACTGTTCGCATTCACCATAGTCCTCAGGCGTGCAATAGGACTTCTGCCGATGCCGACTCTGGGCGTAGACTCTTAGAAGTTGAGCTTTGAAGAACGTCCCGCCCAATCGAAAGCGGCGCCATCAGCAGTTCGGCAGGTACCCACGGCTGCGCGGCCAAAAACCGGTAGAGTTCTGGAGAAATGAGAATAAGGAACTTCAATCAGCGATGGCCACCACATGGAGGCTTGCAGTGGCACGAATCGCAGCGGAGTGCAGCACGACCACGACCCACGTGATCGCGGCGTGTCTGTTCACAGCATTTGCTATCGCACACTTGGGTGGAGTTGGCGCGTCGGTGCCAGTTCCAAATAACAGGTGGGTGTCCAAATGTTCCATTACACAGGAGGCAGCCATAGGTAAGTGAGAATCACAGGTGGATGTGTGTACGTCTAGCTAATCTGAATTACGTCATGGTATAAGACTGCCATCCTATCACGGGTGCCGGCGAAGACAATGGGCTCTTTGATCATCACAGTACAGTCGTTGCAACAGAGTGCGTCGCCCATATGCCAAGACATGGCAGTGTCATCCGGTGAGTGCGTGCGAGTGGTATCGAAAAAGAGGTTCAAACACCCGCAATCGCAGAAGAATTGTTGCCACCTGGGGCAGCTCCATCACCGACAAGGTGAACTGGTGGCATCGTAAGAGGGCATGGTTGATTAACTAAAGGGAATCGTTCGAGCAGCCATCCAGATACAGACGATTCAGCGGAAGTCACACCAATGTGGTGAAGCCCATCGCAAGGAAAGTCGAAGACGGAAGTGTAGGGGGGCATGACAATGAACATCAATGAGCTTTCCACGCACTACACAGCCCATCCAATGAACGTTGTCCTCGTCCAACGTCGATGTTGTGTATACGCGTTAACTCCTGAAGTGCGTGAAAAGGAAGACGAGCGATGAGAAAAGGTAACGGAACATCGACAGCAACAGATCGAATTTGTTCATACCAAATGGATGTGAAACCGGTCCTTTTGACCTCGCACCGATATAAAGCACCATAATGCAGAGCAAGCATCGAACGAGATCCTAGCACAACAACAAAAGCCTCCAGCTCCTCGGTTAATACAAAGACTGACCGACGGGAAGCACCGCTGACGGCTGAAACGAATAAAGTCGAGCAGTGCGAACGCACACCGACAGTATCGATAGCCTCAGTGATCGCACCAAGGATAAATGTGACGAAAGCATTCAAAAGCAATGACAGCAGATCCTCTGCAGCAACGTCGTCAACAACCCGTCAGAGGAGATGCAAAAAACGATGCTCACCTCCACCGAGAAAATCGCCTAGCAATGCGCAGGACAGCAAAAGCGCGAGAAAAAGCGCAGCGATTTGTATGAACATCATATGTGGCAGCGAACAGCGTTGAAGTGGTTACACAGTGAAGATGAGGACAGTAGAGCCCGACGGGCTAGGGGACAGTCGATATCTCCTATGTCCAAGGAGAGCACATCCGCGCAGGGTTATGTAATGAAAAATCACGCCAAACCCAAAGGAGCGAATTTGCCAGTGTCAAGGTTACGTAAGCGTGCGCAATTCCTCAGTGTAAATGGCCAAATAACTTTCTGTTATTTGGAATAAGCCGTGACAGCAGGCGAGCGTAGCGTTATTACTATATATAGTAGTAGTTGGCGTTGTTTGGCCGTTATCCGTTAGTGGCTGAACGTCTCTTAGGACCTTACCCTCACGCCTTGAGTGTTACTATCAGTACGAAATGCCCACCCCTCTGTCTCTTCCTCCTGTCCCTCCGTCGGATCTAGCTGTCGTACACGTTGACGCACTTACCGCCGCACTTCTCAAGCTCGGCATCACTAACGTGTCTGCAACTACCCTCCTCGACACCGCCAAACAGGAAAGCGCGTCTAAGCAGAAACCTCACACAACCGCCGAAAGGCGCAAAGCGCTTGTGAAACGTGCGTGCTTTCAAGTCATTACTGTGGTCTTGTGAACTCATAGTACGTTTACCCTTGTACAAGTGGCGTCCCGGCCGGACGACAGCACTCTTGGCTCGGTCCCTCCCTACAAATCCGTTTTCGTAGAACACCCAAGCAAGCCGGTATCGTCAGACCCGAAATCAAGAAAGACGGCGCCGCCTGCGTGCTCTCGCACAAGAGACCTTTCCCGATGGTAAAATGCCCGATCTACACTTCTGTCTGGATCAACGAATACGGTGGCGCGGATAGGGATCTGCCTTTCGTTCATGCAACTATCGTTGTCACTCCGCTTGACGACAATTCGGATCATCCTCCAGAGCAGAGGTTTGAGAACATGTGGTGTTTGTGGGATACTGGAGCTCAAGCATCTTGCATACTCAGCAGCCAACTAGAGCCGCATATTCGAGGTGGTCAAACATCGGGACAGGCAATTATGTCAATCAAGTGAGGGACAGATTGTGCTTCATTGTCTAATAATTCAACATTTATCATTCTCGGGCAACATGTACATTCCTACTTGCTGTAACCAAATCTCCTTATTCATTCACATATGTTTTTCTTCACAGGTACTTTTGAACCGTGTTCAGTATACGATACAGCCGTACCGACTTGATCCGCAGCTCAAGGCAATACAACAACTTACTCTTTATTTAAAACTTGGACAATTTGCCCGTACGTCGTTCGAGACGGCAAGGTCAATCCCGACGTGCGCAACTTGCATTGCGTTGAGTCAATTGCAGATGCCAGAGTCGATCATCTACAACGCCATCGCGAGCGTGTTGACAGGATCGGCGTCCTATGCTCAGTCGGCGGCAAGTGCGATTAACGTCTTCTTCCTCGATGCTCAGAGTGGCATGCATCCGAGAATCTCGTACGAACAGGTAATTCGAGGTCCTCAGAAGCAAACTGGACAATACCTTGGTGTGCTCGACTTCCGCGGAATGGTCAAAGTCGCAAATGCCGTCTCACTCGCCGCTCCTTAACTCCAACCTCGACCTCCAGAACGGCGAAAAGATGCTCGGGTGGCGCACCTCAGAGTACTCTCTCGTCCTCCAGCAGAAGTCTCGGATCGCCAAAATGGTCCGCCGATGGACGACTCGAAGCCGAATGATCTGTCTTTCTCTCGATTGTATCGCGTCGATTGGACGAACAGCTCATTCGGCGAGATCTCCTCTTCTCCGACATCCAACGCCTCTCCTCGGTTCGTCTGGCATTCGCCCTGTCTGCGAGTTTTGTCATTAAACACGAATAACCTCTTCATCCCGTACGGAAACGACATGATCGGAAGACAACAGGGAAGAGAGCCCCATCGGATGCTCGTCGACCTTCCGCGGTTGCACACTTTGCGGCTGCGTACGTGCGATGGGCTGGATGATCCGGACGAGGCGTGGTTCACGGTGCAGCTCCCCTCTCTCCAGCGCATCGTGATTGAACGGCCTCTAGCTCTCTACGCTCTGCACGGAGGCTTCTGTGCCGTATGGACCACATATCACGACGCTGGAATTGGGTCGTCGAAACTCACGGTTCCTGCTTATCGACGCCATCTCCATCGCGCTCGGCTACTGTCCTAACGTCGAGACGCTCTTTCCCATATTAAGCACCATGCCGCCCGTGAAGAACCCGGAAGACCGACCCCGCGCAGAGTGGGTCCGCTATCGCGTGAAACACATCGTTCTGAACGCAAGCGTGGCAGAGGATTGTGATTACCAAGTCGGCCGGACGTGGATGTGGCTAGGCGATTTCGTAGATGCACTGTTTGGCGAACGTACACGTCTCACGGCGTTGGAGCGCATCACGCTTCAAGGACTGGAATAGAGGGAAGTCTTGCAAGAGGAAGCGTTCAGGCCGATCGCAAAAGCGATACAGTCCAATAGGATAAAAATAGATTGCGAGGACGATGTTACGGGGCAATTAGTACAGACAATGATATGTAACTGATAATCGCAAATAAACACCACCATGTCAGACGCCAGGATATAGATACAGTCAAACAAGATCAAGAAATATGAGGAGGGATAGACAGATAGACAGATAGACAGATAGACAATGTCCAGAAGCAACAAGTTTAGAAAGTTGCTTGTGAGCATGATGCGTAGCCGACGTCCTATACTTTCGCGCCTGCTGCTGGGGCCGGGCTACGCGGCGGCTGATCACACCGTATCACGAGCCAAACGTTGTTGCGTAAGATTCTACGAGCCCTTATACCCAGCAACCCACAACGTTAACGCTGGACTCCTCATTGCTGCATGGGGCATATGGCCTCCGGCCTCTCTCTGTACGATATTTTAGGCATCACACAAGACGCCTCGGCTGATGCAGGTCTGTCTCCTCGCGAAAACGCACTCATCTTGTATATCCTCACAGACGATGCAGTTCGTAAAGCTTACAAGTTGAAGGCACTCGAGACACATCCAGGTAAGCTAAGTCGTGTATGTGGGTATTGCACGGTAGTATTACGGTAGATTTCTACTAGACAGGCTACCGGCAGGAACTGGAGCGGCTGAAATTCGGGCGGCACAGGCGTCATTCAATGATGTAAGGACCACACATACTGTCATCCAGAATATTCCATTGATGTATGCGTCCGCAACCAGGTTAAGACGGCTTTCGATGTCCTAAGTGACCCGGCCAAACGACATGTAAGTCTCGTCCTAAAGTTCACGCTCAATAGGCGCCGATTGTCATTCGTACGTAGGTGTACGATAACGGGCTGAATTACATGCGCCTCCATGTGACATTCGACGAGGTGCAGAACAAGCTCGCACAAGAGAGGCTCTCCCGTGAACGCGCAGAATGGGCGAGACAAACGCAGCTGCGTGCCCAGGAGCGCATGCGAGAGCAGATCTACGCTAGCCAGAAGCGGTACGAAGAGTCCGTAGAAGAGGCGAAGCGGCGATACCAAGAGAAGGTCCAAGCAATCGAGAAGGAGCACTGCCTTGATCATGGGACGGAATTTCAGACGGAGAGCGATCTTCTGGAACCATCCTCGCCCTCGGACGGCCTTGCGGATGAGTTTCTGCAGGATCTCAGAAAGATGAATCCGGAGTGGGAGATGAGGAGGCGGGAGGCTATGCGCGTGAGTGACTATTCGAGGCAACAGTAATTTCAAACTCAACCTGCAGTCATCAGCGCAAAGCCGAAAGAATGCGGGCTGGGGATCGGATGAACAGAGAGGGAATCCGGCTATGAGGCTTGCATATATGTCCATTATTCTATTGCTTTCATCAATAACTGGTATCTGATCACTTTGTTTGTACACTGACTATGGACTGCTTGTTCTACGGATTTCCATGTATGTGCAGTAGACATTATCGATCGCCTTCATAAGGCATTGTCGCCATCATTTTATTAGCGGCGAGCATAGTTCGTTTACCAAGGCGTAGTCAAACTCACCTTACGCAGAAGTTCCCAACGCACTCAATCTACTCTTTGCAATCCTCCCTACATCCGCCACGGCTCTATCCAGCTCGCTCTTCCATTCCGAGCTGCCGATCTCAACAGTATTCACTGAATCGACCGCAGGCTCGTCACGGCTCAGTGATGGCTCCAATCCTAGCACCACTTCCATCTCATTTTTGATGACTGTTCTTGACCTCCCATTCACGAAAGTGATGTACCGCAAACCCGGATAGCGATGCTCATAACAAGCATTCAGGTGGGCAAGCCGTGCCAGAACCTCAGGCGGTGTCGCGACCGCAGCCTGTTCCTTGGCACTGAGGTGCGACAGACCCTTGACTTCGCCAATCCGCGGATGTCCTGCTATGAACTCCGCCCTTCGCTGATTGTCCCACCTCGAGATGACACCCAGAGCGGCATCAATAAGGTCAGAGTATGACGTGAGGGGCACACTCGATAAGGCGATGTGCGAGACAAGCTCTGGTGCGAGTGAAGAGTACAAGATGGGTGATGGTTCAAATAAGGTTGCTATAGCCTGCGCGAGTGCACCGGGTGCATCAGCGTTGCTGGAGAGCACGTCGTTGAACGGAGGTAGAACAGACATGTCCGATATCTGTGAAGAGGTATCACGGACGTTGGCCGGTGCAGCGTGTTTCACCCACTCACAAGTGTGAATTGAAACTCACTAAATTACGATACAGTGTACGAATTCGTTGATCAACGTCCCACGGAGGTCAAGACGAGGATCATGAGTGCTAGTGATGGCCCAGACGGTCTCGGTGTATGTACATATTTACCTATTCCTCTTACCTTGGCATCTGCATTGCACGCTGCTCACCACCTCGCACAGCTATGCGACGTTCAGTCGATGTTTCCTCCATGCTGTCGACGGACGACCTCGCAGACTACGATATCATCTCTGAAGGCCACCGATCGCTCGAGTCCAGCATAGCCGATCTCGGTCACGTGGAAAGTTCAGCTGCGATACGCGAACCCAGCCCGTCGCGTGCAGCGAGGGAGCGGTTCGACACCGTTGGGTTGAGTGCGAGTGAGATACAGGCACATGTCCAGAAAGCCGTGCCTTCTGCGGCGGTCGCATGGAGGACCAGCGAGGGAGAACCGAGGACGGTGCGAGTGTATGTAGACGGTATCTTCGATCCATTCCAGGCGAGGTAAGCATCGTGATCTCTCGCCATAACACATTTCGCTCACTTGTACCAAAGAGACGCGCTGCAACTACGACAAGCCAAGTTATCGTTTCCCGTCGTTCATCTTATGGTGGGCGTCTTCTCCGACGCCATATGCGAATCCCACCGCACGCCCATCATATGGCCGCTCGTCGAAAGATGCGAGATGTTGCGGCATTGCCGATGGGTGGATGAGGTACTGGCGGATGCACCGTGGACTATTGATGAGCAGTTTCTCCGCGCAAAGAAGATTGACTATGTAGCAATTGACGAGGGCTCGTCGGTGAACCCCGCGTGTGACAAAGAGAGATTGAGTGGCTACGACTGGGTTAAGAGCATACGTATGTCTTTCATGCTGTGGACAGGGTGACAGACCGACACTGATTGGCTCTGCAGGAAAAGCAATACCGACAAAGCAGACGACAGTGTTGACACCTATAGAACCGAGAGGTCTCTCGCTTTTCGTAGAAGCAACGCGAACGGTCAGAGGTGCGCCTCATAGAGCAACCGTACAAAGCAAAGACACGGGCCGCGAGGGCGACGTAGTTCCGAGCCCCTTTGAGGAACCTAAGCTCGATGATTTCGGTACAGGGTTCAGCGCCATCTAAACCTTCCGATCTACTAGAAAGCTCACCACATCCCCCCCTCGAAGTCAGTTGATTTGTATCTAGCCAGAGACCCCGTCCAGTTAATCCTAGAGGCATTGCTTCATTCCCTGTGTATTCCTGCCAGACTAATAGGGGCCTTGAGCTGCCTAGTTTCTCCCGTTTCGGAATTGCCGCCGCTCGACCGGGTCGAATTACGATCGAGGCTCCTTGGTTCCCTTGAGCGTTCGGATGATCATGCGGTCTCAAAGGTGAACGTCTAGCCCGACTATCGCAGAAGATTCTTAATGCATCTGCCTCTGCCTATAGGCCCATGTGACTTCATCCATAAGCATATTCAAACCGTATATTCCGGTGGAGTACTAAGCACGCAACAAATGGCTCTACGCACCTCTGATTCATCCTCACAAGTGGCATGTCCTCAAACACAGACGTTCAAATTTTTCCTGCATCTCAGACATGCCTACCCACGGAGTTGGTCGAAATAATCATATCATATGCATGGTCCATCCCCATGTACGCGAGGGACCGCATCAAGCTTTTCGCCTCCTTTTCCCTCGTCAGCCGTTCCTGGTTCTCGATGCTCATCCGCACTGTCCTCAGAGACGTTCATATACAGTGCCCGCTGTCTGCGAACGATTACCTCGACTTCATTCGAGAACGAAAAACGCCACGCACGGACAAGTTCCGCTGGATGCAGGATACATCCCTGATCGCCAACGACCTATGTCGCTCCCTGACATTTCATGTTGAGCACGACGCCCACCGCACATCCGCTGATGTCCACCAATCCGTTATGCTACGATCTGCGGGGGATGTGTCAGCCAACGCGATCTCCACGGCCATGTACATGATCAGTACTCGCAAATACCTCCCAAACCTCCGATGCGTCTCCATAAATTACGTCAACTGGGGCTTCGACGACATTTTCGAGCGCGGCCGGTTCCTCTTCTTCCCGGACCAGGTCACACACCTTGACATCACCTTTGCCTTTGGAAATGCGTTCCTCGAAGCTCTGGGCAGGACGTTGCGCGATCATCACCGCCGCCACTGGCGCGAAGGTTTCAAGGCGCCGAGCGTTCGGCACTTGTCCATCTTCGGAGCGCCAGCCACCTTCGTCTCGGAGATGCTTGCAAGGTGTCCGGAAGTGGAGGCACTGGATACCGACGATGTCGAATGCCTAACGCAACTCCTCGCGCTACCCCGGAAACTCAATACCCTCATCCTGTATCCGCATCAGAAGAAGCTGGATCGAGTGGAGATGATCAAGCGTGTGTTTGGGAAGGCTCATGGCGTCGGGAACCTTGGCCGGCTCTGCGAGAACATGGAGCTTCTCGAGCATTGTGGTCGGTCAGAGGCAATGAGCAGGGAAAAGGAGAGATGTTGCGAGCCTCGAGGTTTATTGCAAGCAAGCTGACAGCCGTCACGGTTTCTGTAGCAGGGATAGATGCGTTCCTGGCCTCCGCGGCGTTGCTTTACTCCTCTCTACAGAATATATGAAGTGACTTCAAATGCGCAGAATACACATGAATTATCAACGGACTTCAAGCAAGTGAATATTACCACCTGCATCAAGCTGAGTATTCCGTAGGATTAGCCAGATTCTCCCTGTTGTATCTGGACGAACTGTTGGCTTGATTCTCCAATATCGAAACGTTTCGTTTCGCGGACATTGCAGGGCGTCTAGACCGCAGAGGACCGGCCGAAACACGCCTGTCAAATCACGTGATCGAGATGCCTCGAAAGTGGCTGACCAGGAAGTGCCAGCCTCAGAAATACGTGCTCGTCCTCACACCAGATACATCTCCATTGACCAAGCAGCCCTCAGACATACGACAAATTGGACAAGATACTTCGCTTTATCGACTGCGGTGACTGATCTGTCGTCGTGCAACATGTCTCACATCCCTCGGCGCAACCGCAAGGACGATGACCCCAAGATGATAGGCCTCTGGAAGGTCGGAAGGACGATCGGCAAAGGAAGCTCTGGTATGTCTCGGAAGACGTGGGTTCATTTGATTGAGCTGCTCATCAGGGTCCTAGGGCGGGTCAGGATCGCCAGGCATACGAAGACCGGTCAATACGCTGCTGTCAAGATTGTATCCAAGAACGCACTGCTGACCTCCAGGATGTCTCTTCGTAGTCTTGGCGACGAAGCTGACCGCATCCTGCACAGTATCGAGCGGGAGATTGTCATCATGAAGCTCATCGAACATCCTAACATCATGCGACTCTATGACGTCTGGGAGACCTCCACGGAACTCTATCTGATCCTCGAATATGTCGAAGGAGGCGAACTCTTTGACTATCTCTGCAACAAGGGCAAGCTTTCTTCCTCTGAGGCTCTTGGATATTTCCAGCAAATCATTACTGCGGTACATTACTGCCATCGGTTCAACATCGCCCATCGCGACCTGAAGCCAGAGAACCTCCTGCTAGACAAGGACAAGAACATCAAAGTCGCCGACTTCGGAATGGCTGCCTGGCAGGGAAAGAGCGACTTACTGCGAACTGCCTGTGGGAGCCCGCACTATGCTGCACCGGAAGTCATCATGGGTCATGCTTACAATGGAGCTTATTCGGATATCTGGTCCTGTGGTATCATTCTGTTCGCCTTGCTCGCAGGTCGGCTACCTTTCGACGATGAGGATCTTACATCGCTCCTGGAGAAAGTCAAGCTTGGAAAATATACCATGCCTGCGGATATTGACACGCGTGCGAAGGATCTCATCTCGAGGATGCTCCAGAAAGACGTCTCCAAGCGTATCACGATCCCTGAGATCCTTGAGCACCCTTTCTACAAGTCTCAGAAGCCAAAGAAGATGGACTGCGACATTCCCAACTTGGACGACATAGCTCGGCCGTTGGCAAACAAGGATGCTGTTGATCAGGACATTTTTGCCAATCTGCGCACGCTTTGGCACGGTACTCCTGACGACGAGATTAACGCCAGTTTGACAAACGACAAACCTACTTGGGAGAAGGGTGTCTACCACTTGCTTGTTATCTACCGTGCGAAGCACTTGGAGAATTACGATGAGGACGAAGAGAAGCTTGCAGCAAGGCGGGCATCGAAACGACGTGACAAGAAAGGCAAAGAGCAAGATGAAGACCAGAACGGACTGCTTGCATCACTCCCTCCCCGTGCAGGTCCACCCACGCCTCGCCGCGCAGCTGGAAGCTCTCGACTGGCGGCTTCCTCGTCATCTATACCAGGTCTTAGCCAGATGCGTCAGCTATCTTTCTTGGGCTCTAGTCTTGCTCTCTCAGCTCATGCAACACCGGCCTCTGCGGCACGAACTCTCCACCGGCAGCTTTCGTTCTCTACGGTGTCCCCTCGTGATGCAGCGCGAACTCTGTCTCCGAGCATCCCACAGGCAATGAGCCCTCTTCCCCTCCAGGTCCCGGAGATGCAGGATGAGAACATCCAGCGATTCTTCCATCAGATTGTCGAGCATCTCAACGTCATGCAGTCCGCGGGTACCGGCCACCAATCACCTGGACATGATTCGATGCGTTCACCCGGTGCGATCACTGCACCGCCGCCGACACCTCTATCCTTGGATCCTCGCAGTCCTTCCAGTGGAAAGCAAGTGAACATTCGAACTAGGGACCCACTAAAGTCCACTGACACTTTCGGCATGGGCAACTCTACATACCTCCACAACACGACCCAGCCATTAAGTATCCGTACACGATCGCCAGAACGAAGCAGTGTCAGTTCCGATAAGGAGAATGCCAGGCGCGCGCCTCACTTGTCCATACAGACAAGCTTTGGCAGTGAGTTGCTAGAGACCCCTGCTCGCAAGCGGTCGACCCGGAGCGCAGGCACTGGCAAGCGGGTACAGATACTGGAGCCACCCACAGTGGAACGCGCACGGCTGAAGAAGAAGCGAAGCTCGGCAATATCGCCTACGTCTCCCGCTTCAGCCCTTTCAGAAGGCTCATTTGCCCCTCCTTCACCGCCTAAACGTCGCTGGTTCGGTCACCTGTTCAAGTTCAAGCCCACTGTCTACCACCTACTCTCCGTGGAGTATCCCGAGGACACAGTGAAGGCCTGCAGGCAGATGCTCGAAGAGATGGGCGTGTCGGTCGCGCTTGCGCATGCAGCAGCAGAAGACCCGACGGCACCTGGGTCGGACACTCTCACGCTCAAATGCTGGATGGACGAGTCTCGCGAGCTGCGAAGCGGGCTGACGCCGATGAAGGGTGTCCGTTTCCGCGTGGAGGTGCAGAGGCCGAGCGCGATACAGGGGATGGCGGGATATGTGGTGCTGCTGAGCCTTGTGCTGGAGAAGGGCGCGGCGACAAGTCTGAAGCTGATCTATAACCGACTGCGTAGAGAGTGGGACCTTGATTCTCCGCCAACGTCATCGCCTATGGCAAGTAGGAATCCAATGTTGGGCGATGATGAGAGGTTCGTGGAGATTGTGTACGCGCAGTGAGGACGTTCCTCGGTGGACACTTGCAGATGATCTACAACATCACGAAGAGGACATATTATGGTCCTTTACAACAGAAAGCAGGTCCAGGAGCTTACGATACAACGTATCTGTTCTGTACACTACCTAGTCCATATACGTCATTTGCGGATATATAGGATGATATGACATTCTTCGTATAATCAATGCTCGATGCATGATGCATGGAAAGCTTTTCGCATAAGACAAGCACATGATCATGAGCAATTACAGCCTAGTTCTTAATGAAAGAAATCCTTGAGATTCACAAGATATCACAACATCAATGGATATTTCATACCTGTAGAGTGGTCACTGCTCATGTCTCAAGGGATATGCCACTATATAGCATGCATGGATCTCTATGATGTTGATGGCCCATCCATGGCCGTGATTGTCGAACTGAAGCGCGACAATGGCTCCATGAGTAGTGGCGCCTCATCAATGTCCATATGCTCATCTCGAGCACTGTTTTCTTTATCTTTACTTTCGAGAAGGGAGGGGTGTTTTCCGGGGCGTGAGACTACCGCTACGCTCGGCGAGTCGCTGGAAATACGGATGAAACGCAATTGCTGGATGAATTCGACTGCTTTTCGGTCCCATCGCCGAAACAACTCAACGTTTGGCGGGTACGTGAGGTCTATCACCTCTTCAAACCTCAGGTTCAGTAAGTGTTGTCTCCTGAAGACAGGCAGGCTCACCTAGACCCGTTCGATATTCCTCCGCCTCCCTGAGTTTCAACTCTTCCAGCTTCTGCTCTTTCACGCTCTTTGGTCGACCTTTTCTCCTGCTTTTCCTCTCCTCCTCCAATTTCCCATCAAATCGGGTGAGCCAAACGCTCTCAATGATTTTATGAAGGTCTTCTAAAGACAAAACTCCATCGGCAGGCATAGCATGATAAAAGAACGAATATATGTCGACTAGGAGGCTTCATGAGTAGTCCGCAAGATTGTGCATGTCCCGTAGCAAACCTTGAGATCTTTGCTTCTCCGAACGCGCCTTGGCAACTTGTTCAAGCTTGCTTTTACGATGCTGCACGCGAGCTAATTGTTCTGCTTTCCGGGATTGGGGATGGAATAGTTTCTCTTTTTTCTGAGCAATGGCCTTCTTCTTCCCTTCTTTGGGTGGCGCCATAATGGAAGCGTTGCTCTGACAAGTATGCGAGATAGTTCAAAGCAGTGGTATCAGCAGGTCAGCTTTCCGCGCATTTGCCTGTGCAGATAGAAAGCTCCGTGAAAATGAAATGCCAGAAGAAATTTCAACCGTACGGGCGCCAATCAATCAAGCTGTACCTAAATGAGGCAGGCGTTGTCTTCAACGTTCATCTCCTGAAACTCGAGTGACTCTCACCTGCGTCCTGCTTCGGAGTCTGCGAGACTATTATCACTGTATAGTCACTTTTCGATTTATTCTCCACGGTTTGAGATGGTCAGACTCTGGACTTTTCTGCCTTATACTTCCGTGAGGCCAGCAACGTCCGGCAAGTTGTATATCCTCTGGACCTCGCTCTTCATCTCTCTCTTTATCCTTCTTATGCGGTCTAGAGATGCGGATCACCCCGAAATCGATATTTTGGAAAATGCTGGTCCGTCTAGACAAGCTATGCGGCACGGAGTCTCCAACAACGTATACTTTCACCACGTGCAAGACGGCTTGAACGTCACAAGCAACAAAACTACTTCATCGACCGCCTTAATTCTCGACCTTTGCAAAGGCAACACTGACACACCAGAGCTGTTATCCTTAACTGCTGTTCTCCCTGTGGTTCCTTCATCGCTGGGCTCCTTGGAGACGCAATTACGGACTCTATTGGAATATTCAAGATATCTCTCAGATATTCTCATTACCTATCCTGCGGCGCTGCAATCACAAATCAGAAGATCTATGCTGTCGGTGCTCGCTTCCGGTGGGCACTCCGCCCACGTCGAGATGTCACTGTCCACCTGGCCATCTGGAACGGATGAAGCCACGGCTGTTTTTCATGTTGCGCAGCAGGCTGCAACCACACATGTCCTTCTTCTCGGAAGTGACGGCTTGGAGACCTTCGATGATCGTACCAAGGAGATTCTTCTCCTTCTTGAGCCGTTCTCCACAATGATGCCACTCGGTCCTCGAGGATTGATAGGCAACGCTTGTGTCACACCTTCCGAAACTCCCCAGAAAGCTGACTACCTTCTCCCGCCATTTTTGCTGCCGACTTCTCTGCTACCCTTGGAGTACTTTCCTGCATACACTTGGAAAACCCTCGGAGAGCGCATGTCTCAAACGCAGCCTGGCTTGGCAGGAGGATTGGTCGTGGGCTCTAGCAATTCTTCGTCCGCGGGCTGCTCTCAGACTGTGACGTCAATTTCTGAAGAAGTGCTGCCGGACATACCTATGCTTGCCGATGATTATTCACTGCAGCCTGTGGAATCGCTGGGTACCACGATTCTGAACGACACATGCGTCGCGGAGTATGATAGAATACCGCTTTCCGGTACCTTTATGCTGCTCCTCGATAGTACCGCAGACTTGCGATCTTTCTCCTCAGCTGCATGTCGCCTCCAAACGGATGGCCATGAAATAACTACAGTAGTCCGTTCCAGCGAGTCTGATTTGGTCGGCCGCGGGGATTTCGACGTGGACGGTGGGTTGGCTAGTGAGCGAATTCTGACCACTGGGGATTGCAGTCTGAATTACACTATGTTGTCCGCAAGATCTGCTGTAGCTGAGGTCGGAGATTGGATTTCCGGCAACGTGTTATCGCCCAATGTTCTCATCACCACCGTTAAGAAAGGGTCTGCGATATCCTTGTTGCTGTCAGACGCGAACCTAGCAGGAGGGCGTCTTTCGGCCACGACTGTCATATACCTCCCTCAGACGGACCTTGCCTATTGCGACTGGATGGGATCTCTGTCTCTGCTAGAGTTTCAAAGCAAGCATCTACATAGCTTTCTGGAAACAGTTGCTGACCTCAATCTCTAGATTGGCATGTTCCTCGGGTTGATATTTCCGTCATCACGAACGACAGACCACACTCGCTGGAACGGCTTCTGACCTCTCTCTCTAGTGCACGATATTTCGGCGACGCCCTGAACCTCCGCGTTAATATGGAGCAGACAGCCGATCCGGAAACCTTGCAGGTCGTGAACGTGTTCCGTTGGAACTACGGCCAAGTGTTTCTACATCGTCGTGTCATTCATGGTGGTCTGCTTCCTGCTGTGGTCGAATCTTGGTATCCGCACTCCAACAATTCCTACGGACTAATCTTGGAAGATGACGTGGAAGTCTCGCCACTATTCTACGCCTGGATCAAGATGGCGTTGCTTCGCTACAGGTGAGCACGATGCTATGCACCTGAAACCCATTATTGATGAACGCATACGCTCAGATATGGACAGCAGGAAGATCGATCTTCGCAATTATTTGGCATCAGTCTCTATCAGCAGAAGAATCTTGAATTGCGTCCCGACGGGCGCCATCCTTTCAACGCCCGGAATGCATTCGCAGCTGTAGGCATCGCGAATCCCAACACTCCATACTTGTCACAAATTCCGTGCAGCTGGGGCGCAGTGTACTTCCCCGAGCATTGGAAAGAATTCCACTCTTATCTATCGTTCCGTCTCTCGGAGTACGCCTGGGATACGGATCAAGTGGTCATTCCAGGGGCCAGGTCAAACAAATGGACACGATCCTGGAAGAAATACTTCATCGAACTCGTGTACCTGCGTGGATACATTATGCTATACCCTAACTTCGACGACTATGTCTCGCTGTCTACCAATCACTTGGAAATAGGCTCGCACGTCAAGAATATGTCGACCGAGGCTTATCTTCGAAAGAAAAGGATGTTTCTCCTGCCCTTGATGGAACTGCCGAGCCCAGAGCAAGCAAGCGGTCTGCTGGATCTCCCCAATGGCAGGCTGCCTTCGTGGTCATCCTTACCGTCACTCGATCTACTCGGTCTGCCGGTGGACGAGAAGGCTATGATCCAACGAGGTCTAGCACGCAAGGCGGAGTTGACAGGTTGCGACGAATGGGTAGCTGAACGCGGCATACCCTCACACGATGTATGGGATTTGCTTTGTGACAGCGACCAGCTATTCCATCATAAGTTCCGCGAAGGGAGCACTGGCCAATAATAAACTATACAGCTTTCTGAACCTGTAGCTATCTCTGTAAGGCGGTTGCAGTCTACTTTATATAGTAATCTGTGAGATATCCAGACCAAGAGCACGCAAGAAAATGTTGACGTTCGCCAGTCGCGTCCTCCGCTCCTCCTCATCTGCTACCCAGCCTTTAGTGGCGGTAGCTACGTTTTCCAATATCGTATCTCGGAGTATCGTTACTAAGATGTGGTGCTGCTCGGGTGAACAGTGCAACGCCATAGAAGCCAAAAACTGCCAAGTGGGCTGGTCGAGGATATCAGTGTTAGGGATGCTTGCGAGGGAAACCCCGGAAATGGCGCTAATCCGGTATGAAGGAAAGAGGGCGAGGAAGTGCGATGCCAGGGCGTTGAAGAATTGGTTGAATAGTTCCTCCCTAAATATCACATGAGCATATCGCAATAACGAACTCAATATTTCAAGCACCAATACTCCGTCTCTTCTAGCGACGGCAATTCTGCTAAGTCCGTGGCAGTGGCCATATTTTGTTTGATAACCTCTACGCGGCTCAAGAATAGCGTCAGCAAAGCAAGGCCAGGCTGAAGCGCAAAGTCAACCTCTGAACACAAAGGCAGAGCTGCGATTAGCATACCTTCGTACGAGTTACCGCAACTGCGGTGTTGCCACTGATGAGCAGTTCGAAGAGTCCACTAACGAGATGCAAGTCGGTCCTCGCAACGGTAGGTAGGATGCTTTGTATGACGTTCACGAGAAACGCTTGTGTCTGCGCATCGACTTCTGCACGCTCTTCGGATTCTTCAAGCGTGTCCAGAACGGAAGCCTTGAGCACAACATCCAACTGCCAGAAACACGCAACGAGCAGAATGAGGACTTGCAACATTTGCTGAGAATTAAAGTAGCGTGCGACACGGGACAGAAGGCGTTTGCCCTTGATGGGCGTGATGACCGAAATGAACGGATGCGGGGTGCTGAAAGTGAAGTGAGATAAGTAAGCATGTACTCAAAGGCGCCTACTGGCAATCACACCTTGTTTCAAGGGTGACGGGCAGCTTCAAGCCTTCAAACAGTTCTTGGACGTGTGCGTTGTAGTCAGCGGTCCTATAGCATGACATTGATCAATTGAACTGACAAATGGAAAAGAACACCACCCTTACCATGCTTTCAGCCTTTCTTCCTCTTCGGGAGGAGGCTGTTCCCTGCTTATCTGTTCCAGCTCCATGAGGATGTCGTACACATGCTCGATGATGATGAGGCTCTCTCTATACGTCAGTGGATCCTTGCGAACAATCTGAGTGAGCTGTGCGATATCCGTCAGATTCAGATATTTCACAGTGCCTGTGACTCTAATGGCACGTACATCTGTATGTCCACCGAGCACCTCGCGTCCGATCTTCGCAGCCTGCTTTGCAGCATCCGCTCCAATCTGACGAGACGCAGCATCCGCTTTAGATATGTGAGCATGCGCTGGTGAGGTGGTTGGCAAGGTAGATTCGACTTGAAGAAGTTGGCGGGGAGCGGCCTTGTAGCTCCGACCAGATGTCTTTCCCAACGCGCCCTGGAGACTGTTCAGAGCTGTTCAGATGTCAAATATCAGCCACAATCGGGACAATAGCAGCGTCAAGCACTTACATATCCTCTCCTTCTCCCTCAGCCTCGCGTTGTTGACGATGCGCTCGACCTGCGCCTCCATGCGCTGCATGGCGCTTTGACGCCGTCCCTGCCCCTTCTGTTGACCGAGACCCAAACCTACACCTCCAATTGAGCCAAACTTCAGCACGCGGTCGTCCTGGGTTTGTACACCCAGCCGGGAGCGCAAGAGAGCACCGTAAACCTGAGCATAGTAGTCTTCCGAGTACGGATCTTGAGTGACGAGCTGAGACACCTGTATGCGCGTGATAAAGTCTTTGTCTGATTGAGTCATCAGGTCGTTATACCGCGACTGGTTTCGCACGTTAGCAAGGAAGGAGAAGAGGTGTAAAGTACGAACCATGTATTGAATTTTGGCCTGCTTCTTTCTCCTTTTCTCTTCCATCTTCTCCGCTTCCATGATCTTGCGCATGGCCTCCGCCCGCAGCAGCTCCTGCATCTCACGCTCCTCCCTCGCCTCGCGCTCGGACCGAGGACCACCCTGCATGTTATTGATGAACTCCTGCTGAGCCATCTCCGCCAGAAGTCGTTGCTGCAGCTGAACGTCCTGAGGCAGGTAGGGCAAGCTCTGCTGGAAGGGTACTTCAAGCGATGTCTGGTTATGCAGCAGCGCCTGTGCAGGGGACGACCGTCCTAGTCGTTGTTGCCGATCGCTCAATGCAGGGCTGAGACCGCCACCGGAGGTATGCCGTTGATGCATAAGTTGTTGTGCACGATTTGCCGACTGCATCTGCTGCAGACGTATCGCGCGCTGCCGGTCAATTTCCTCAAGACGCAACTGCTCCTGTAGCTGCAGTAATTGCTGCTGCTGTTGGCGTTCACGCTGTTCCTGAAGCTCAAGTAGCTGCCGCTGCTGTTGCTGCTGTTGCTGCAACTGAATCATCTGTATTTGATGCTGCTGTTGCTGCTGATGGAAACGAGGAGATTGCGAGTGCGGATGCATGCGAGGTGGAGGAGTCGCAACATGTTGAGGTGTACCTTGACGTGGTATCTGGCTTCGCACAAGGTTTTCAGTGAGCAAATGAGACTGCGCGATCGGCTGCTGTTGCTGCTGATGTTGAGCAGCAGCAGCAGCAGCGCGCATGTCTGCCTCGATCTCCTCCAGAGTATGAACTCCTTTGTGTAAATTGGTGCCGATGCTCCCAAGAGTTTGATGCGAAAGCATTCCCTCATTCACGGCTGGGCCAAAAGGCGAGAACTTGGAAGGCTGAGGAGGCTGGGACCGGGAGTGAGACAGGATCTGGTCCGACGGCCGGGATGCACCGTTAGACCGCGGCAAGACTGAGAACGGAGACTTGTCATCCCAGACAGACTCGAGAAAATGGCTTGCGCGAGCTGCATAGATATTAAGAAACGCGTTAGAGGATGAAGACTTAGAGCAGCATACGTGGTGCAGATTGCTGGGCAGCTTGTAGTGACGGGGGCTCCAATGGCTGGACCTTCGCCTGTTGAACTTCTCGCTTCACTTCTGGCAGTGGTGGAAGCCCTTGCGTGGGTAGAGCGGCATGCGAAAAATCAAAATCCTTCCCTAATGTGTCACTGTCAAGGATGGCCTGATCATCGGCCAGGGACGGCGGGCGACGCACCCACTTCGTCTGTCCCACCAAAGGTCTCGTCGTTCAGCTCATCACCGCCCTCCTGCAGCTGGTTCCCAAGGCCGTCATATGCCTCTTCTCCCCACGTATAAACAGGGATATCCTCCGTCGCCTTGCCTCCGTCGCCTCCACCGCCTTCCTGTAGGAACTTGCGTTTCTCCTCTTCTAGATCAATCGGTTCAAATCCGAAGAAAGCCATTGAAGGCACACAGACGTCCTGCAATGCAGGCCGATGGTTCGTGGACGGTTATGATCAATAAGTAGCAGATGGATGGTGGTGGTGCAAGCAGTGGCTGGTCAGGACCGATCAGTCTACAAACGATCTCGACCCAAACCCTGTATTACGTCTCCTTCCCATCCAATTCAGCAATATTTCTAGCTGCACACGACGACCTCAATGCCTCACTCTCGGCTATTCTCTCGGTCACGATTAAGTCTTTCTCATGCGATGCACATAGAACGTTTCACGTTAGTGCGGAGGTCACTATAACAATATTAATCTTATTTCACTTCTGTCATACCGGGCCGTGCGGTCACGCTCTGGCGACCGTCACGGTGTGGACCGACAAGATCCAACAACCTCCAAACGTTTGCCTAAACGGTTGCAAAACCCTCGGTGGCCACTCCGAAACTCATCGCAAGTCGCGTATAAAACATGCTGCAACATGCCTCTTCACGCAGACTCAGTCATCCTCTCTGGAATTCGGTTCCCCCCGTCGCGGTAAGTGTAGCTACGCCGACGCGTCCCTCAAGGCGTGGACTGATGCCAGACCCTGCAGGCACGGATTTCTACGGCTCGTAATAATGCCCAAAGATGTTCTCCGTCACCCTAGTCTCAGCACACCGGCCGCCAGATTGTCAGATGACATCCTCCACATGATATTCCTCCATCTCGTGTTGGGCCACGATCCTCGTCCTGATTTGCGCCCGCTCAACACGCAGAATCTATCCAATGGCACCACATGGCTCTCTGTCACCTATGTCTGCCAATTCTGGCGGAACGTCGCACTTGCATCTCCTCGATTGTGGTCGAGATGGATCGTCGACAAAGACTGCTGCATGCCCATGCTTCGCGAATTCATATCGCGATCCGGCAACCTCGCGGTACATGTCGCCTTCGAAGGTCCTGCATCTGCTTCGATGTGTCAGCTGCTTGAGCAAGCGCAGCTGGTCGCCGATTGCAGCCATAGACTGTTAGCCCTTGTTATCAGAAACTTCCACGAGAAGGACACGACTTCTCTCGCGAATGTCTTCTCACAACCTGGTCCTATCCTGCGAAAACTCGTCCTCACGGCCACAAATACTGCGCAGCCGGGGTTGATCGGCTCCGTCTTTGCGGACGAGATGCCTGCTTTGCGCTCGCTCGTTTCATCACACAACGTCCTCCCGTGGTATCCGTACAGGAATATGACCGAACTTGTTCTGATGAACCAATCCGCCCCCCCTCTGTCGCAGCTCAAAGTTATGCTACGCCGCTGTCCTGCCATACATTCGCTTTGTCTGGGATTCGGACATTCCCATTTCCCTCCCGATCCTCTAGATACGCCGCGAGACAATGAAGTCATCCACTTGCCCAATCTGCGACAACAATTCGTCCTGCGTGGAATGTCCAATGTCGTCGGGGACATTCTCGCGCAGATATCCTTCCCGAAAGTGACCCGTGTCATGTTGAAGCTGCATGCCCCGCGTGTCAATTCCTCATCCTACCGGCCGTCGATGCACACATTCGAGTCCGAGTGGAAGTGTGCAGATCTCCTCGCACGGACATCCGGCGTTGGCATCGACGACATCGCCTTGTTTTCAGAGGGGCTGACGTCAGTGTCAGTGTCCATGATATCGTGGTATTGGTGCACTCGTCCGAACTTCCAGTGGATCTCCCAGCGGTTGAGAACAATGGCTGACTCCATCACGTTCCCCCGTCTCGTCCGCCTCACCATCAAAGAACAGTCAATCGCATTGAGTGATTCAGCCTGGTGTCACATCCTCCGTGCCTTTCCCGCGTTGACCACGATCGACCTCAATGCGGATGTCACCTTGGGATTTCTCCGCGCTCTGTCGAAGACCACGCACAATCAGCAAGGCGTGACGTTCGACGTCTGCCCGCTACTCTCCACTGTCATCCTCTCGACGCCTTTCGAAGGTGATAAAGAAGCGACGAATGAAACACTCCGCCGTCTGACATACTCCTTCCGGAAACGTGCAGCAAATGGAGCGCGTCTGAAGCTCCTGAGAGTCGCATTCGCAAACCTACGGGAAGAAGAGCCTGGTTTCACAGACATGTTTTCTGAGCTCGCTGATCAAGTCGAGATCCATGTCATGCAAGGTCCTCTGGCGCCGCCACCGTCACCCGCATCGCAGTAGAACGTGTCTGTCCGCACTTGTATAATGATTCCGTATCTACATTATCTACCGCATCTTGGTTGAGGATGTCAAAAAGGCTCATTTGATGGATTTTATCCTACTCGTCGTAATGCACACTATTTATGATTATAACGAAATACCAATCGCAATGTCAACGGACTGAACTTCATTCTCACTCGTTTACATCATGTTGTAACGGGAACGCATTCACCCAACATTCACCTCATCGGACACGGTGCCCTGTGTGATGCTGTTTTCGAGAATAAACCGATTTGATATCGCGAATTCATTGCCATGAGAAGAGATTTAGTCTGTTTCAAATTACCGCTCTCACAGTGGGTTACGCAATTCCGGAGTTACATAAGCTTTTTTTGCATCTCCGAAAGGCGTCGATTGGACCTCGTATGACACGTCGGTGGCTGAGAAGTGCGGTGGCTGAGGCTCATTGTGCATACATCCATTGAACATGCCCTTCTTTTGCCCATAGCTGACTTGTACATTTATTTTTCATCACATAGACATGTTTGTTAAAGAGACTAAGATCTCGCTGAGTCGTTGCACATATGCATGCATTGGACTTTAGGTATTGCAGGCATGCCCGATGAGATCCGGGGGAAGCCAGCGGCATCATTCGGCATTTTCATAACGAGGTGGCACGTGATCGAAATGGCGTGCTACACTACAGAAGGCGTAATTTGAAGCAGACCTTAATATCGTATGTCGTCGCTTCCTCAGACGATTTTATAGGTCTGCCTAGGGGAGACAAGAAGAGATTGTACGGTAGCGGTTTTTGATGGCATGTCACATGGTCAAACATGGGCCCATGTCTGGGGTGGTTGCTACAACGGACCCTCAATGATGGTCATGATGATCATGGCCACAACGCGCACGGTCCATATGCTGCCGCTCGCTTTGCACATAATTCAACTTCTCTCGCCGCTCGCTTCTGCTATTTGAAACTTCGATCAGCCTCTATCCACTTGTCTTTCACAATGATTGTATTAAGCAAGTACTGTTCATCTTCTACGAGCTGCTCTTGTTCGCTGGAAACGGCGTCGAAGAAAGGAATTCGTCCCGTCTCAATGATAACAGGCGATCTGTACTCAGCGAACGAGTTTGCAAAATATTACACCGTGTATATTGACCAGTACACGAATGGCAAGAGTATGCTGGGGTATCATTGAATGAACGGGGTATAGCACGACACAAAAGTGCACATGAGCAAGACAAAGGACCCTGGAAGCAGGTTCCCGCGCGAGGCCATGACTACAGCATCAACGTGGAAAGGGGAAGGGAGGGACATACACATGGCACAGCCATGGTAAGAGTAGGCCGCGGGTGGAGTGCAAGTCGCGTGAGTCAAGACCTTCTTGATCCCACATCTAGAAAGCAGCGCAGATGCGCCAGGAAGTAAAGGGAAGAAAGGCGAGGATCAAGCGAGTCGAGGACCTCCCGGGCCCACAGAATTTCGCGACGAGGGCATGAGAGCACTGGCGACAAGTTGGTTGCAGCTCCGGAGCCGTTCACGTCGGGCCACAAACCACGAACTTGCATCGCAAGGTACTGCAAGTGGAACTCCTATCAGCCCAGTATCCTGGGCTGCGCGAACCGCATGAACGAGGGAATCGAGCTCAGCCTCCGAGTCAACTTCGTCCAGGTTCTCGTATCCATCCTCTCCAGTTACCACTCCGGCGGAAGAGACGACTGCAGCAGCAGCAGCTGCGGCCGTGGCCTTCTTGTTCTTCTTCGTCAATGTGCCCACGAGGGCATTGTTGGCGCCCTTCTTTGTAACGTCGACACCCGCAGCGGCAGCGGCCTCTGCCTGCTGCCGCTTCTTCTCTGCCTTTTCGCGCTCTTTACGCTCCTTCTTCTCTGCTTTGCTCTCCCGCTTCACCGGTTCAACCCAATTCGGATTGTTCAGCCGGTTCCACTCGAGTAGCAGCTCGTCATAAGGCTTAGAACGGCCTTGGACAGCGCGCTTGGCACCCATCGAGTGCGACTTGCATGTGAGCGAGCGCGAGCAAGGGAGGCCCTTATCGTTTATGACGCCACATTGCTTGTCGTAGTCGACGGGACCCTTGAAACGCCCTTTGTTGACCTTGGGAGCCGGCTTCTTCTTCTTCGGGTCGTCTGGATTGAGATCTTCGTCGTCTGCCTTGCGCTTCTTCCCTTTCTTCGTGGAGTCCTCTGCATCTGCATTTGCTTTTCCCTTCCCAGCCTTCTTCCCTCCTGAACGAATCTTTGCGCAGTTATCTGGGCAATGGGCAGCATACGATCAGCGGCCACCAGGCACGAGAAGAGACGATAACTCACCTGCATGCTCGGCGATCGCGCTCTTAAGGATGGGTTTCCCGCAGTCTTTGCACCTTATGATACCGACTTCGGACCTCAATGGCTCCAGCCCATACATCTTCATGTCGCGCGCCGACAGCCATGTCGTGGGTGGCGAACCGGGGACCTCGAGGACGTCTGCAGGCGATGCCGGCATTTCATCCGTGAGCATGAGCGGAGGGGGCGAAGGTGAGAGACTTGGCTTGAGCTTGATAGTCATGGCGAATACTAGTGCGACACGGCGAGCTCGTTATGGTCGACAGCGAGGTAAGAGCTGGTCAAAGTGCTCGGTCACCGGCTCGTCTTCTGTTACGTAAACTTCCCAATATGGGTGACCGGCAGTTACACCGTGACGTCACCACAGAACGCGGGGTTTGCGCGACGAACGCGTTGCGGTCACGGTGTTCGTATTCCGAGGTTCGAACTATAAGAACCTTTGGACGCGCGTCTTGTCCCCGCATTCCTCCCTTGCCGTGATCCTTCATCTCGCTTACGATCACAATGCCAAAGCCGAAGAAGATGAAGGGCGCGCTCAAGATCCCGGGCAACGGAAAGATCTTGCGCGCGAGCAGTTCGAGCTCCACCTCGCCGAAGACTCCCAAAACTCCAAAGACGCCCGCCGATGAGGGAATCGACTTCTTCGAATCGGCTTTCAAGCAGGGGGAGAAGCCAGTCAATGTATATGAGCTTCAGCTAGAGCCTGATGGCGGTCCGAACAAGGACAGAGCTGTTGAGTACCGTTTCTTTGATCCGTGTATCTATCTGGCAGGGCATCACCTTGGCAATGCGATTTATCATCCTTCTGTTCCCATAAATGCTGCGATGCTCTGAACATCTAGATTATGCCGCTTGGTGATAACAGACGTGACTGACGTAAATTAACATGCCAGTATATGCGCCTGCCTCCGGCTATCACGCCTTACATCTTGCGCGTCTCTCTCGAGGCGGGAACGCCGGCGTCTAAGAATGGAGTTTTCAAGACCAACTTCCCGCTCGATGGAGGCGTTTTCGCCCGCGATCGGTTTGCAGAGCGGAAGTGCGTACCCGTCAGGAATGGTACAATCACAGCACGCGCTAATATGTTGCTTTAGGTTGCCGACCAACTTCTCCAAGCCGATTCAAATCAACCTTCCCATCTCGCACGCTGGTGCATTCGCATACTGGGTAGAGTACGATGGCGAGGAACCAGGCACACGCGTGAAGGGTCGCGAGGGTTACTTTAACATCGATCCGATCCTACGAGTTAAGGCCCGATCTTCCATCCTGTCCTCCGATGGAACGATCCTAGAGAGGGGTGGTGCTGTACAATCTGGCGCAGTCAATCTACCACTGGATGGCCTCTCAATCTTGACGGTTGTCTCTAAATGGATGGGTCCCATGAATGCCTGGAGAAAGTACCTCACGGAGAGCAGTGTGAGAGGTTATAACATGCTCCATTGGACGCCGTTACAGGAGAGGGGAGAGAGCGACAGTCCGTACTCCATCAGGAACCAACTGGTATACGAGCCATCTATGTTCCCAGGCGGTGTAAAAGATATTGGCAACGATGGAGGAAAGGCCAAGCTTGAGGAGATGTTGAAGATTGCAAGGGACGAGTACGGTTTACTGAGCTTGACGGATGTTGTGTTGAATCACACCGCAAATGACAGTCCATGGTTGCTCGAGCACCCAGAAGCAGGTGAGTCTCTGTTCTGCCGCATATATGTACATTAACTCAATCACTATCAGGCTACAGCCCGTCAAACACTCCACATTTGACTCCCGCTCTCGAACTCGATGATGCGATGATGCGTTTCTCTGGGAGCCTGGAGAGCAAGGGTCTGCCAACGATAGTCACCTCTGAAGCAGACTTGGAAACTCTCGTGAACGGTTTTCAAGACTATATCAAGGAGCTCAACATGTGGCAATATTATGTTCTCGACGTCAACAAGGAGCGTGCTTCCGTAAAAGAGGCATTGAAGAGTAAGAAGATCACCGAATGGGACGGGCCGGCGGTCGCCCATAAGACAGTGGTGGAACTCGCCGAGGTCATGCGGGCTTCTGGAAATATCCACGGACTGGGCAAGCTAGAGAAGAAGTTTGGAACACATGTAGATGGATCAGTCGCGGCAGGCTTTGTGAAGGCTGCCTTCGTCGATGTTGAGGACAACGGCGATGCGCTGGCCGACGCATGGATCCGTGTAGTCGATGTGTTGAATGTACCCCTCTACCAGGAATGGGAAGAAGACACGCGCGTCGCTCTCGATCAGATCAAGAACAGGCTGAAGTACATTCGCTTGGATGAACATGGATCGAAGTTGGGGCCCATCTCGGAGAAGTAGGCATCTCCCCAAACGAACATTTTCTTTGGCTCACGTATTCACAATATAGGTCGCCGCTTGTTGAGACGTATTTCACTCGTCTGTACCTCAGCAAGAAGAAAACGCCTTTGGATTCTGCCAAGTACTCCGTGGCCAACAATGGCTGGATCTGGAATGCCGATCCACTTGCAAATTTCGCATTACCTCCTTCCAAATCATATCTCCGCCGGGAAGTGATCGTCTGGGGCGACTGCGTCAAACTTCGTTATGGCAACGGGCCCTCAGACAATCCATGGTTGTGGGAGCACATGAAGACGTATGTCACATCGCTCGCGCAGACGTTCGCGGGTTTCCGGATTGATAACTGCCACTCGACGCCATTGCATGTTGGCGTGACGCTGCTTGACGCGGCGCGCGTTGTGAACCCGAACCTGTACGTTTGCGCTGAGCTTTTCACGGGTAGCGAAGATACGGACAAGCTGTTCGTGAGCCGACTTGGGTTGAATAGCTTGATTCGGGAAGCAGGAAACGCATGGGACCCGAAGGAATTCTCAAGATTGTTGTACCGCCATGGTCTTGGAAAACCAATCGGTAGGTCCGAGCAGTTTTAGATGCTCTTGGTGAGTGCTCACACTACGGTTTAGGATCAATGGACAGCGCTTGTGTCACGAGCAAGGGAGAATTGCCGCCGCCTACTGGCAAGGGCCCAACCCGTCCATGCATCGTTATTCCGCACAACGGCTCCGCGCCTCATGCCCTGTTCTATGACCTCACTCACGATAACGAGACGTACCTGTCCAAGCGCTCTGCGGAGGACGCCCTATCCACCGGAGCACTCGTCACATTCTCATACTGTGCCGTCGGGTCCGTGAAGGGCTTCGACGACCTGTACCCAAAGCTGCTGGATCTCGTTCGTGAGAGCAGGAAGTATGAGGTGACCGACCTTGGCGAGCGAAGTGGGATTGCAAAGGCGAAGCGCCTTTTGAATTCGTTGCACACGGAGATGGCGCTGAGCGGGTACGAGGAAGGGCATGTGCACCAAGAGAATGACGTAAGTGTTTGCGCTTTTGTCCTGGAACAGCTTGTGTTGACTGCGTACGGACAGTACATCGTACTGCATCGGGTTCAACCTGCGACGCAGAAGGGATACTTGCTCGTTGCCCATACTGCCTTCACCAAGGGATCGAAGGATCGCGGCTTCAGTATGTCCTCCCTCAATTTAAAGAACCTCCATGACTGATTTCATCAATAGTCAGCCCAATCAAGCTACGGGGGACGAAAGCGAAGTTCATTTATGGGGCTTCCATCGACATTCCGTCGTACGAAATTGACAAGGATCCAGCCACCCTGCATGGACTTCGGGGCAAGCTAGTTGACATGCCAGCTGTAGTCGTGCCTCAGGGACTCGATCACGAGGGCCCTTACGCTGAGATCGTCGTTCCGAAGTACTTCCCCCCCGGGAGCATCATGGTCTTTGAGACTCATCTGCAGAACCTCGATCTGACTTTGGACAAATTCTGTGCCGAGGGCGCGGAGGCCGCGTTTGCCGACCTCAACCTGGTAGACTTGAACGTTGTCCTTCACCGTGCGGATGGAGAAGAGCGTGATGCAACTGACGGAGAGATCGGCACATACGTTGTTCCCGGCATGGGTAATCTCGTGTACTGCGGACTAGAGGGTTGGATGCACCCGTTGCGGCACATCATGAGGTACAACGACCTCGGACATCCTCTCTGCGGTCACCTACGTGAGGGACCATGGGCCTTAGAATATGTTCACTCCAGGTTGTCGAGGTGAGCGGATTGGATAACACTCTACGAATTACGCTGATTTACAATCACAGGCAAGTTAAGATGTTCCCCAATCTGGCGAAGCCCGCGCAATGGTTTAAGGAGCGGTTCGAACGTGTCAAGGACGTGCCACCTTTCCTGAGACCGAAGTACTTCGCGATCGTCATCTCGGAGGCGTACAAGGTTGCTCGTCAGCTCGTCATTGAGCAGTCCTCGGAGTTCGTCGTCAGCGGTCACTCGTTCACCCATGACCTTGCCCTATGTTCTGTACAGATGCATGGCATGGTCAAGTCTGCCTCCCTCGATCCGGGCGGACACACACCTTCGCTCGCAGCTGGTCTGCCACATTTCGCGTCTGGGTGGGCGAGATGCTGGGGAAGAGATGTGTTCATTTCTCTGCGCGGTCTGTTCTTGACTACCGGCAACTTCGCTGGTGCTAAGGCGCATATACTGGCATTTGCATCGACGTTGAAGCATGGTTTGATTCCCAACCTCCTTGACTCTGTCCGCAACCCCAGGTGCGTGTAATGATCTGGCGTCAGCATTATTTGCTGATGCTTTTTGACACTCAAGGTACAACTCACGAGACTCGCCTTGGTGGATGGTTCAAAACATTCAGGATTATGTCAACAGTGCACCGGATGGCATAGCGATTCTCTCCGAACCTGTAAAGAGACGGTTCCCTAAGGATGACACCTGGGTTCCTTGGGACGATCCTCGGGCGTATGCGTACTCAAGCACCATCGCGGAGATCATCCAGGAAATTCTACAGCGTCACGCGAACGGCATCTCGTTCCGCGAGTACAACGCCGGCTCCAACTTGGACATGCAGATGAAGGATAAAGGATTCGATATTGACATCAAAGTCGACTGGGACACTGGTATAATCTTTGGCGGCAATGAGTACAATTGTGGTACTTGGATGGACAAGATGGGCGAGTCTGTTAGAGCAGGTACGAAGGGCAAACCGGGCACTCCGCGAGATGGTGCTCCTGTGGAGATCACCGGTCTGTTGAAGAGCACGCTGAGGTGGCTGGACCTGCTCTCCAGTGCGGGGAAGTTCCCGTTCATGGGCGTAGAGGCTGAAAGTAAGCGTAATGTTCGAAAGATAAAATTCGCGCTAACAGTACGCCAGTTGATGGCAAACGGAAGCTCATAACCTATAAGGAATGGGGTAACTTGCTGCAAACGTCCTTCGAGGCATGTTATTACGTGCCATTGGGTGAGTGCAGTAAAGGCCGTTGCCAAGACCAGTCGTTGACCCTGCTCAATCCCAGACCCTGGCGACGATGCGAAATACAACGTGAACCCCAGTTTGATCAATCGCAGGGGTATCTACAAGGACGTGTACGGATCGGGTGTTGGTCGAGAGTGGTCTGACTACCAGTTCCGGCCCAACTTCCCTATCGCGATGACTCTGGCGCCCGAGCTATTCGATCCGGAGCACGCCCTCTACGCGTTGAAATTCGCTGATCAGGTGCTCAGAGGACCGCTCGGTATGAAGACCCTAGATCCTCGTGATATGCAATACCGCCCGTATTATGATAACTCCAATGATGGTGATGATCCCAATATCGCGAAGGGTCTCAACTACCACAATGTGCGTTGCCCGCCTTGCTATTACGAGTATCGTTGACCATTCCATTTGCAGGGTCCTGAATGGGGTTGGCCGCTGGGCTACTTCTTGCGCGCATACCTATACTTCGATACCCTCGTTGGAGCTGGCAAGAATGTTCGTTCACCTCATTGATTTCTCAGCTGCTATTTGACTCAATATATGGCAGGATTCGACTGATACGCTGCATCGGCTGCACCGCAGCATTCTCGCATCCCGGCGTCATATCCAAAATGATCCCTGGGCGGGTCTGCCGGAGCTAACCAACAAGGACGGCGAACTCTGCCGTGACTCGTGCAACACGCAGGCGTGGAGCGCGAGCACGATGCTCGACTTCTTGGAGGATGTGCAGAGACTTAGCGATACCCAGACGAAAGCTTGAGCAGGTGGAAATGGCGAATGCGAGATACACGGACTCTGGTTCATCCGTTTGGAAATGCGACGGGTTTCTCTACACATATGGCCTATTCTTCTCCGCATCGAGTTTCGATTTTGTCGTTGAAGTACAAGCAGAATTTCGTCAATAGCATTCTTTCACGACGCGTCTTTATCGCACTTTGATCGCATGGCACATTACAGTTGTCTCCTGGAGTTGATCTGGGCCACGGTCAGTCGTTCAAGCAGTCCGGCTCTAGGTTTCAGCGTCATCGCGACACGATCGAGCGCTCTACTTTAGCCCAGGTAGGGCTCATTCTTGAACTTCTTCCTGAATGTCGTTTCGACTGAACTCGCAAGTGGTTTCTCGGGCGATCTCACGAAGTACCTTCAAGCCTATATCAGTGAACTTCCGCGTACTCAATATCTCATCTTGTCTCGCAATGCCTACGTATACCGGCGGCTGCTATTGTGGCAACATCCGCTACAGATTGAACTTGAGCTCTGCGGACGAAGCTCGGACGAGCATATGCCACTGTAGGAATTGCAAGGCGGGTTGCTTTCTTGCTTGCATTGACGCACTTTTCCTGAACCAGTTTACATCGATGCAGAAATTTACTGGGTCCGAATTCGGCATCACAGCCAGGATTCCCCGCAAGGCCATGCAGATTACCAAGGGACAGACAACTCGCCATGAATCCGACAACGGCGCTGGCACCATGCTGACTCGCGAATTCTGTGGCGCCTGTGGGTCCGGTATCACCGAGTATAATGCCAATGCAGGAGAGAATACCTACGTGTTCTACGGCAGCCTCGATCGTCCAGATGCTCTCCCGCCGAAGGGGGAGTTCTTCTGCAAGAACAGGGCGAGCTGGATGCCCGAGATAGCTGGTCAGTGACATTAATAAGATGACATTAGCTAAAGCCTGAGGGTGCTTACACGTTGACGAAGGGGTGTTTCACAAGCGAGAGATCAAGGAATGACTCTTGCCTTTCAAAAGCTTCATCTATCCGGCGAATGAATGAGCCGCTGAGCTGTATCCCCTTGCTCATTGTATCAGACTGCTCCATACAATAGCCGATGGTGCCATAGGTAATGAAGGAAGTGGGCCTTCCTGTAAGTTTGTAGCGAAGAGCTGCCTCAAGAGTTAATAATGCCAGACCAGTTCAGCCATTCCTTGCTCCTGTGTTCCGGGTTATGTGAGTGTTGAGAGTCTTCAGATATTTGTACCTACCCCAAAATCTATATCAGCAATGCAATAAGCCCCACGGGAGACATAACGCCATTTTTCATCCCATAATTTCGTTCATACCCTCCTCCACCCCTACTTTGTAGTCCTGCACCGCACCCTGTACCTCCTTCGGCGGTATATAAAACGGAATTCGTTCATAAATGCGGGTTAGTATTTCATTTGTATCTGATACATACCAAACTGGATTTGGAGAAAAATGTCTCCCGTTCGGGTATGAGTTATAGGGCCAAATGATAATTTCCCAGCACGTGACTGACGCGCGTCCTCTACGGGTGCGTAATCTGGACTATGGCCACAGCGCTCTTTCCATCGAATCAGCTGTTGCTGCTGTAAACACGAACTATCCTGTGTGTTGGAATACTACTGTTCCATCGAGAGCCCAGGAAACTTGGACCTAGCCGGTGGTCATTCGGTGCACTCTCCAAATCCTCTTAAAGAGTTGCCACTCACTGACCTGAACTGCAAGTCTACGCCTACTTCATTCGTGGAAACGCAATAAGTAAAATATCATCAGTTCCGGTATAGCGAAATGTTGCCAACTGCTTCACCTCCGTCACCTCCCCCGTCACCTCCTTCCTCCCCTCCGACAGCCGAGACAGCAGTCCCGGAAGATCACAATATTATCTACCCTGCACCACCACAAAACAGAGGCACTGCCCCATTCCAAGTGTTGGCTATTCTTTTTGACAAGCTTCAGCATGAACGCAAGCCAGAGAAAAGGAGGAGACTGCTTGATTCATGGTTCAATGTACACATTCTGCCGCCTACCCTTTAACAGTCTGATCTGATTCCGACCCTGTAGCATTGGAGAGGGGAGAAGGGATACGATCTTTACCCTGTACTGCGACTTATTCTCCCTCAAGTGAGTTCTCGTGCGATCATTCACTTAATCAATTTTTCACAAACACGAATGGGAACAGAAAGACCGCGAACGGGCGGTATATGGCCTGAAGGAGAAGTTCCTCGCGAAGACATTCATTAAGTTGATTCCGCTCGGCACAAGAGATCCTGACGCTATTCGACTGCTCAACTGGAAGAAGCCTACAGAGAGAAATGTGAGCCAACATGTTCTCCCCGTTCAACCATAGTAGCCTCAAGGCATCAATTTTCGATTTCCAGAAGTCCTCAGGTGACTTCCCGACCGTCCTCTACGAAGTTATCAGCAAACGATCATCCGTGATTGAGGGATCTCTGACTATTGACGAGCTCAATGACCTTCTTGACGAACTCGCACAAAACATAGGAAAACAGTAGGTGTCACTAGGTGTAGAACTTACGTGGCGCCCTCACTGATATGTCTACACAAGTGATGTCCAGGCAAGAATAATGCAGCGCATATACAACCGTACCACACCCGAAGAGCAATGCTGGATTGTCCGCATCATCCTGAAAGGTCTGTTGCTCAGCGTATGGCGCCACATTGTGTGCTCAGATTGTCACTTTCTTCAGACATGCAGATCTCGGTGAAAGAAACTACCGTGTTCTCTGTATTCCATCCCGATGCACACGACCTATTCAATACATGCTCCGACTTGAAAAAGATTGCGTGGGAGCTCTGGGATCCCAAACGCAGACTCAATGAAGAGGTATTGTGATGTTCTACTCGGGATTTATTGTGACTGCTCATGATGCCACAATCAAAGGATAAGGCCGTTCAGTTGTTCCGCGCGTTCGCCCCAATGCTGTGCAAACGGCCTACACGTAAGATCGAGGACTCCGTCAAGGAGATGCAGGGCCGCACCTTCATCATGGAGGAGAAGCTGGATGGGGAGCGCATGCAACTGCACAAGCGCGGCAACGAGTACTTCTATTGCTCCAGGTATATTCTTTAAACTCTATAGCTGGGTCATTTGGACTGAATTCGTGGCGGCCGCTCACAGGAAGGGCAAAGATTACACCTACCTGTATGGGAAGCACGTCGGAACCGGCAGTCTGACGCCGTATCTACACAATGCATTTGACCCTCGGGTAGACGAGTAAGCCGCTGTCATTCTATAAGATAGCTGCATTCATTGAAGTCCATTTAGAATAATCCTAGATGGGGAGATGCTCGTTTGGGATCCGGTTTCAGAGCGAAACCTCCCTTTCGGGTCGTTGAAGACGGCTGCTCTCGGTACAGCTACATCGGCTCCGACCGTGGATTACGACTGAACTTTTCATAGACAAATCGAAGAAGGAACACAACCCACGTCCTTGCTGTGAGTTCGTGGGTTCGTGGGTTTGTTTCCCACTTAACTTCCTGACACCTCGCCCGCTCATAGTCAAAGTGTTCGACATACTGTTTCTCAATGGCGTGTCCCTCCTACACAAGTCCCTCAAATACCGCAAGCGCAACCTAAAATCCTGCCTGCAGGAGGTGCCGGGCCGTGTAGAGTATGTCAAGGAATATGAGGGTCGCACGGCGAAGGACGTGCGCGAGCGCATGGACGAGATTATGGCCAATCGCGGCGAAGGGCTCATTCTCAAGCATCCGGACTCGGAGTATGTGCTGAATGGACGTAATAGGGATTGGATCAAGGTTGTGTCTCAGTTCCTCTGGTCAAACGTAGTATGCTCATTTTCTTCTCTCAACACTAGGTGAAGCCAGAGTATATGGTGAGTGATGCGACATCGCTCGGCAAGTAAGATTGTAACTTCACCATTGACCAGGACAACATGGGCGAAACGGTCGATGTGCTAGTCGTCTGTCAGTCTTTAATTGCCGCTGCATGATGTCTGCTTACCGAAAGATTAAACAGCGGGGAATTATGGTACCGGTCGGCGCGCGGGCGGCGTCTCCACCTTCGTGTGTGCTGTGTTGGATGACCGTCGCCCCAACGACGAAGATGAGCCCAAGTGAGTCTATAGACAACATACGCAACAGAACAGTTCATAACAGTTCATTCATGGTGTGTTCTCGCTAGGTACAGCACCCTGGTCCGCGTCGGCACGGGTCTGTCATACGCTGACTATGTTTGGGTACGGTCGCTGCCGTGGAAAGAATGGAATCCGAAGGATCCTCCGAGCTTCATTGAGGTCTCATCGAAGGGTGCAGAGGACAAGGGCGACGTGTACATCGAGCCACAGGAGTAAGTTCCAGTCATCTATGCGATATGCCAAGCTCATGACTGTCCAGCTCGTTCATTTTGAAAGTCAAGGCGGCAGAGATCGTCTCCTCCGGTAAGATCCCGATAGCGTTCTAAGCGGTTGCCACGGAATGCTCACTATACACCATACGCTAGATTTGTATCATATGGGTGTGACCATGCGTTTTCCGCGAGCTCTGCAAATCCGTGATGACCTTGAGATCTCTGATTGTATGACGGCAACCGGTGAGATCGTCCATACACGTAGCGATGGCTCGCTCTGACTAGCGCCATAGCTGTCCTGGATAGCCTTCGATCGGAGCGGAAGCGCAAGATGGAAGATGATGATGGGTCAGCATACAGTGGGAGACTGAATCGTGTGAATGCTCATTAATGATGCTGTAGCAAACCTAAGAAAAAGCAGAGGAAGACGAAGAAGAAGGTATGTCGCTTTTCATTATCATTCATCCCCACCTTCCCTCTCCTGTGCACTTGCAATGCTCAGTTCTCCTGCAGATCACGTTGTTGCCAGAATATCAGAGCCTCAAGCTCAAAGATGTCGAAGTTCAGAGCGACCTATTTGAGGGGATGAAGTTAAGTAAGTCACTCTTGAGCGACCTGCTCGGCTATCGTTTGACCGGCTCATATAAAGTGGTCGCATCTGATCCAAAGTCGAGAACGGGTGATGAAGACAAGAAGGAGCTTTTAAAGCTGTGGGTACTCTTCTGGCGACAACACTTCGCTGCTCATCATGGAATGAGACAGAATTCGTGCCAACGGAGGGAGTTTCGTCCAGATCGCGCGAGACGATCCTCAGGTCCTAGTAGTATATGGAGGGACCACGACCCGTGCGTGAACAAGCAGGCCGTCGAGACATGCTTTACTTACATCTCTGGCAAGCAGCATACGATATCAAGCTGATAAAGGATAAAGGTGTATGTGACATCATCAAGCCACAATGGATCTTGAATTGCTGCAACCGGGGTGAACGGGTCCCTATGAAGAAGAAGTTCGTGTCGCTCATTCCCTGAGGCGAGCATTGGTTGACAGACAGGTAATCTGTAGGTACTTCTTTTACGCTACCCCTGGAAGAACTCAAAATGAGGAATACAACATGGAGGACGAAAGCGAGGAAGAAGAAGTCCCATGCGGGTCCTCTGAGGTCGCTAGCGAGATGACGCCCGAACAACAATCTGAAAAGGGAAAGGCGGAGGAAGAGAAGCTTGACCCTACAACCGCAGAGTGGTTCCATGTAGAAGCTGCGCCTAGTAGATCAGAAGCAAGTTCGGAAACGGAGATTGAGACAGAAGCCGATTCAGACAACGAGGACGTCCACGATGAAGAGCAAGACGTTGATGAGGATTGGGTTGATGTGGAGCCGAGTGATGTCTCTGCAAGTCAGTCCGTACAGAAAACAAGCGTAAGAAGACTATTGTCAAAGACCGGGATGTCATTCATATCTGCTTGTTGCTTTGGCAGGCAAAGCTTAAAGATACCTCTTTAAAGGAGGTGAGTAACCATGGTTGGACACCTTTCCATAAGATCCTGTATTAACGCCTAGGAGAAGACCGAAGTGAAGATGGGAGAGGACGAGAATGCCATGCAATACGATCAGGACCTCATCTTCAAGCACCTGTAAGAGCAGCGATTTCTGCCTTTTTCATGAATATGACTTTTTGGTCAGATGTTTCTACCTTGACTCCCCGGAGAACGCAAGAAAGCACGGCATGGTGGTGAGGGCCAAGAACGAACAAGAAATCAGTAGGAGGTGCGTAGGCGGCACGGTAGGCCCCTCTCACTTATCAGACTCGTGTCATAGTTTCGAAAAGCTAGCTGCTATCATCATCGCAAACGGTGGCCGTGTTGTTGAGCTGGACGAGCCGAAGCTCACGCACGTCATTGTGGACAAACGTGACATCAGCCGGCGTGTAGAACTCATCAAACGGACCTCCAAGTCAGTATCCTCCTCGAAAAGTAATACCTGCTAACTTGGACGTTTCAGACCCAAGCGACGCCATCTCGTCATCGCTGAGTTCATTCAGGCCTGCCTGGACGAGGCAACATTGCTTGACGAGGATGGTAGGTCCATGTACTGGTAAAGGGGGCCGATTTCGCTGATACCCCGATGCGATGCGGCAGAATTCGGTCCATGAATCTCCGACCCCATGCCGTACAATGGAAAGAAACTATTGCCTGTCAACCTCGCATATAAATCGGAAACCAGAATGTATTGATAGTGATATTGTATTGTACAGGTACGGTGGACGCAATTGGAATCAATTCACGATTTTTCTCGAGCGTACACTGCTTCTGGGGGATAATAGATATGTGATAAAGATTCGGAGGATAGCATAGGCACAAAGCAAAGTTCCTGGGTAACACATCCAACGACCAGGAATTATATGAAAACGAGAAAGGTATCCCGATCGAAGGCCTGAAGGAAGTGACGGGGACATGCGCTAAATCGCAAAGCCAGAGACGCTTGAAAGTGCATCCTTCACCAATAACGACTCCAGCTGCCAGGACTCATCCCAGTAGGGCTATCGTAGAGCGAGCGTTGAGGCCTGCCAAGAACTCCTGGACTATTCTGCAGGTTCTGCCTGGAGATCTCCTCGTCGAGAAGCACACTGGGATCATGAGGGTCTAATATGGACTGTGAACCTGGGGTCCGCCAAGGCGAGTAGTAGCTTTCGCTAGCATAGCCGTACCGCTTCGGAGTGACCGGAGCGAGTGGCGATGGACTGAAGAGGGACGCCCCATACGAACCGGACCGCTTCGATGGCGTACGCGGTGGTGTCTTGAACGCTTCGGTAGGAATGACAAGCAGAGGCGCCTGAGGGAGGTACACTGCAGCCGGAGGAGGGTCCAAGTTCGACTTGTAGTGAGCGAGGCTCGGTGAAGGGCTCATATGTAAGCCAGCATGGGATATAGGCGTCCTTGTAGGTGAAAGATGGACGCCGCTACTGGTAACGCGCCGCTTGTGCTGCGGGGTGGTCGGCCGGGGAGGAGGCGTAGATGGGATGAGGGGCAGTTGTGACGTCTCAGGTGAAGAAGTGCTCGCTTGGCGCTGAGATGCTTCCTGCAATCTGGCAGCATAGAGTCCCGTCCCAAGGCTTGGAGATAGAGAAAGCAAGCTCTGAATAACGAGCAAAACAAGTCAGCAAACACATGATACGGTGCACAAATGGCTCACATGATTTCTTCCGGAGCCTCTGGCGCGTTGCTTGCCCTTAGACTCGCCCACTTTCAGATAACAGTCTTCATTGAGTACAGTTGCATTCGGCGCCAGAGCCTCCAGAGAGGGAGAACGCCTCAGCCATTGTGCATACTCGTCATCACTCTCGACTTCATGATCAGCCACGCCAATTGCACTAGACGAGGGTGCAGGCGATGGGCTGGGTGGTCCATCGATGGTAGTCAAACTCTCATGAGAGGAAAGTGGGGGACTGGAAGATGAGCTGCAGTGGGGTGTCAGTGAGGGCAACGATGACGATGACGAAACGAGTATGGGGGAGGTGTCAGGGCCACGTATGGACAGCTCCTCATCTGTCTCCTGCGATGAGGACTGGGAAAAGGAGCCCGTATTGGTGGCTGCGACTCGGTGATAGTTCGATGACGGAGGTAAGGGTGGGAATATGGGTTCACCAGGGAGCGGCGCAGCGAGAAACGCCTGGTAGTATGGCTGATGAAGGGTGCCCGGATGGAAAGGCGGGAAGTAGGGAGGAAGAACAGGAGTAGGAACATGCGCAGACACATGATGCGTGACGGGCAGTGACGGCCCAGCTATTGAGGGCGCTTCGCTTGGCTTTTCTGCCTTCTTGCGTCGTTTCTTCTCCCGGCTTACGACTTCATCCATCGTAGCACGCTTCTTCGCAGCACGTTTGCTAGCTTTCAGCTTGTCGTCATTGACCATGTCAGCACATAACGACTTCCTGAAACCGCCGCCCGCAAAGCATTCCAGGTCTTGGTCGAAGATCGCCCAAAGGCTCTTGCCCTCTGACCGTCCACGGGGAACCTTGCGGAAGACAGCCATCGTACTCAGACAATGTCTGACAGAGTTCATCCATGTCTGTTCGCCACGTTTATAATGGGGGTACACTGTGGTGATCCACTCGTAGATGTCCTGCAATGTAAGCCTGTGTTGTGGGGAAGATAGGATAGCCTGTCCTATCAGTCCGGCATAAGCGAAGTCTGGCTTCGCGTCAGAATATGGACCTGGTGGGAGGGTGAACGGCGAACTCTCCTCATCCTGCGCCGGCGGAGAGGAGCGCATTGGTCCCGGTGAAGAAACAAGATTGACGACGGGAGCAGGGCTTGAGCATTGGGACAATACGCGCGGAGGAGTCCGAGGAGTAGAATAAATGTTACGAGCGATTGACGTCTGCCTTACTGAAGGGGTGGCCTCTTTGCTCAAAGACTACAACACCATAAGCAATGACGGGTAAGCGGATGGTGTAGCCACGCACCTCGTTAGTGTAGACACCGCTCACAACGCGCTCGCGGTAGTATCTATAGTGATGTGGTGTCATTGGAACCGGGTCATCCGAGGTATGCTGCCGGAAATGGTGATGAGTCGGTGACACTATAAGTAGCAGTTTTTGCTGACCTGTGGGGTTGAGCTGCGCGATGATAAGGCCACACTGGACCATTGGACGCGTCGGCTATCGCGCGACTGCATGACAGAACCTGGAGATAGATAGAAGAAATCAATGCGGGCTTCGTGGAGGGGCCTTTGGGCATACCTTGGCTTTCCTTCTTCTCTTTCATTTTCCGTTCCAATACCAGATGCATGGTATCCAAACGGCGTGGAGGAAGTGTCCCTTCAACTGGCTCGGCCTTCACGGGCGTCCTACGCGGCGTAGGCGACCGCGCCCTAGAGGACGCGCTTGCACGCGAAGCGGGACGAGACCTCTTTCGAGAGAAAGAAGGCGATGAAGACGGACGTGAACGCGACCTGTCCGTAGCAGGAGCAGGAGCAAATGCATTGACTTGCTCGACAGTGAGGAACTGCCTCATCTGCTCGCTGTGTCGACGGAGGTCATCACGCGTCATTCCAATACTTTTCAACAACTGAGACGTGGGCGACGCGAGGCCGCCTTTTCCTCGATACACAGTGGCCATTCACGAGACCAAGGAGGGGGGGAGACCGAGGAATGTGAGGAGCTGTGAGGAGGAGATGAATTGTCCCGTACGGTGTCACACTGGTTGGAAGGACGTCACGATTCAGTCACATCCCGTCACACAGTATGGGCGTCTAACCGCAAGCGCTTGAGGTGCTAAGTCCAAAGCTGCATCACGTCTGCAGCAGTGTATATGTTCAGCTCACTCCCCTTGGCTTCCCGCAAACATGGTGTACCATAACTTGAAAGGCATGGCTACTCGATAGGCGGATTTTCTAATGCTAACTTCTGGGGCAGCTCTGATCAAGGGGATCCGGGCATGTAAGGTAAGTTATCCCGATAATGACGTTTGGGCGCAACACTCATCCCAGCAGACTGTAGCTGATGAGCGAGCCCTCGTTAAACAAGAATCCGCTGCTATCCGAGCCTCCTTTAGGGAAGAAGACTCGTACGCGAGGCATAACAATGTCGCGAAACTGCTTTACATCCACATGCTCGGCTCAGAGGCGCATTTCGGGCAGATGGAGTGTCTCAAGCTGGTGGCCAGTCCACGTTTCGGGGACAAGCGTCTAGGCTACCTGGGGATTATGCTGTTGCTTGACGAGAGTCAGGAGGTGCTCACGCTTGTAACCAACTCGCTGAAGAAGTATGTCATTCTTTCCAGCAAATGCTTCTGCTTGCTGAATCGCTCGCTAGTGATATGAACCACGCCAACATGTATGTCGTAGGACTGGCGTTGTGTACATTCGCAGATATTGCATCCGAGGAGATGTCGCGAGATCTGGCCAACGAGATTGAGAAGCTGCTTGGTTCAAGCAACACGTACATCCGCAAGAAGGTGCATATCATCTCGCTATATACCGTGCGCTCATTTCGTGACTATATAATCTCAGGCTGCTCTCTGCGCTTTGCGAGTTGTCCGCAAGGTGCCTGAGCTTGCCGATCATTTTGTTTCGAAAGCCAAGAACCTGCTTGCGGACCGCAATCACGGTGTCCTGTTGACAGCCATTACGCTGGTGACGGAAATGTGTCAAATGGACACGTCCTGTTTGGCAGAGTTCAGGAATGTAAGCGACACTGGCAACCTCTGCAGAAATGTAGTAGTGATGTCCTTCAGGCGGTTCCGCTGCTCGTACGGCATTTGAAGTCGCTAGTGACCACAGGATACAGCCCAGAACACGACGTGTCTGGTATCACAGACCCGTTCCTGCAAGTAGAGATACTTCACCTTCTGCGCCTGCTTGGCAAAGGGGATGAGAAGGCGAGCGAGGTCATGAACGACATTCTAGCCCAGGTACCTGCCATCTAAATGCACGCTGTTTAGCGCTTATGCAGTGCTCCTCAATAGGTAGCCACAAATACAGATTCAACGAAGAACGTCGGAAACTCTATCTTATACGAGACTGTCATGACTGTCTTGGAGATTGAGGCGGACAGCGGCTTGCGCGTAATGGCTATCAACATTCTGGGTAAATTCCTCAGCAATCGGGATAACAACATCCGGTATGTCTCCTGCATGCAGATGCCGCTCGTGCTGGGCCTCAGTGCGTTAATGATGCCTCCAGCTATGTCGCGCTCAATACACTCAACAAGGTTGTCTCGATTGATACCAACGCTGTCCAGCGACATCGAAACATCATTCTAGATTGTCTCCGCGATGGCGATATCTCCATCCGACGGCGAGCCCTGGAACTATCGTACGCGCTAATCAACGAGCAGAATGTCCGCGTTCTCGTCCGAGAACTGCTCGCATTCCTCGAGGTCGCGGATGATGAGTTCAAGCTCGGCATGACGACCCAGATCTCTCTGGCGGCAGAGCGCTTCGCCCCTAACAGGCGGTGGCACATTGATACCGTGCTCCGCGTACTGAAACTGGTCGGTTACTCTGCTCTATATATTGAAATTTACGTCTGCTGCAGCTTGTCCACAGGCCGGCAACTTTGTCCGAGAGGAGATCTTATCGGCATTCATCCGTCTTGTAGCATATACCCCTGAGCTGCAGGCATATACCGCATCTAAGCTATACACCGCTCTACGATCCGACATCTCTCAAGAGTCCCTGACACTCTCGGCTACTTGGATCCTCGGAGAGTACAGCGAGATCCTGCTGGAAGGCGGGCTTGTTGATGAGGATCAGCTTAAGAGGGTGCGCTAGATTTACTGTATGACATCCGGAGCGCTTACGTTGTCCACTGTGCTGACAGATTACCGATATCGAGCTAGTCGATCTCCTCCTGTCCATTATCGACTCACCTTACGCCAACTACCTCACGCGCCAATTTGTTCTCACTGCAATCACGAAGGTTTCAGCACGGCCAGGCACCTCGCAAGCTCAGCAAGAACGGATAGACAATGTCCTCCTGTCGTATACGGCCAGCCCGGAGCTGGAGATTCAGCAACGAGCGGTCGAGTTCGCGAGCCTGTTTAACCTCGATGTCCGCGCTGGAGTACTGGAGCGAATGCCTCCTCCGGAATTGAAGGCGACTGTGCTGGGCGTCGGTACGCTGCTTCGAGTTCGATGAACATTAGCTCGTCTTAATGATTGTGCAGTCAGCGAGAACAAGCCCGTTGGGTCCGTGCAGCCAAGCAAGGATGTAAGCGCCAATGCTCTCTGCGCTTACTGCCTTCTCTTGAATACTATATATACCTGCAGGGCGATCTTTTGGGCGACGATGTATCGTCCAGCAGTACGCAACCGACCAACGGCAATGTCCCCGCGGTCATGCAGAGCAACCAGGACCTGCTGGCCGAAATCTTCGGCAGCTCGACGCCCGCCGCGCCATCACCAGCACCCGCAGCAGCAACGCAGAAGAACACCGTGCAAGACATTCTGGGCCTCTTCGACTCGGCACCTTCGTCCAGCCCAGCACCCGCTCCTACGCAGATGCCAGTTGCAAATGGCGCGCCAGCCGCGCCTTCTGCGTTCAACCTGCCGCAGACACAGACGCCGCAGACACAGACGCCGCAGACACAGCAGCCTCTGCAGCACCGCTTGACAGCGTACACGGCATACGAGAAGAACGAACTAAAGATCACGCTGACGCCGAACACGTCGCCCACGCGTCCGGGCGTAGTGAACATCCTGGCCAGCTTTCAGGTGACAGGGAGCATTCCGGCGATCGGGCTGAACTTCCAAGCCGCGGTGCCCAAGGTACCCAAGCTGCCTCGTTGTTTCTGGTTCCCATGCTTATTGTTTTAACATAGTCACAACAGCTGCAAATGCTGCCCATGTCGAATCCCGACATCCAACCGGGAAGAGCTGTGGAGACGCAACAAATGCGAGTAATCGCGCCAGTAGGGGTGAGCGTAGCGTCGTCGCCCTTACCATAATGCAAGCTAACCATGAGTGTACAGGCCAACGTGCGGCTACGGTTGCGGATATCATATTCGGTCGGAGGGCGTGCTGTTCAGGACCAGGTGGACTTCAGCGGATTCCCGCCGGGTCTGACGGGCGGTTCATGATCTTGTCTCTTGTTCATATTTGGATAATTGCCGTTGTTTTGCCTCGAGCGCTGTGGCTGCCGATGATTAACGTACTGCTTTTCTATAGCAGCGTGATTTAGCGAGATTGAAATGGCTAAGGTACGATCGTAAGCGAGGTGATGAAGGTACCGAGGGTAGTCTCTCTTCACTGTGGAGAGCTGGCGAACGTTCTGCGATCAATATTACTTCAGCCAAGTTCATGCTGGTTAAACGACGTAACTAGAGACACGATCTCTACGGAACAATCTAAAGTACTCCCATTGAGCCACACGATGCACAACAGCGTCCACCAGTCAATCCCTCAATATGAAGACTCGTCAATAGCCTCCGTTCTGTTCTAAGTGGCACCCGCCTTCGCAAGGGAGGCAATGTCGTCCACCGCGCCGTTCCGCGTCTTGATTGCTTGCTGCCCGGGTTTGAGGATGTCGGCGATGCGATGCGCAAGCGGCGACGGCTCTGATTCGAGCGCCATCTTGAGGAACCACGGCTTGCTCATATAATTCCTGATCCTATATGTGCATACACGCCGAACGGTCAGCTCGCTGAAACTCGACTGAACGTATGGCAACCTACCCATCAGGCAACAGCACCACGACGTTCGCGCCCCTCGTCTGCGCGGCCCTCCTCCCCTCCTGTGTCTCCTTCAGCCACCGCAGCACACCACTCAGGGCACTCCCGCTGCTCCCTCCGACAAGAAGGCCTTCGACACGCATGAGCTTGCGCACAGCCGCGAATGCCTCGTCGTCAGATGTCTTCACCCAATGGTCGATCTCCTCGCGCGCGAGCACGTCCGGCACGAAGTCATACCCGATACCCTCCACGACATACTGCTCGCCCATGTCGGCGGTGTTCAATGACTCGGGCATCGCGAGGACGCTGCCTCTCTGCGTGTGGGATTCAGGAGTGAGACGGTGAGATAGAGGGGTGTAGAAGGGACTCACGGGATCGACACCGATGATTATGCAGTGTTCGTTATGCGCCTTTTTCATGGCGCGCGATAGCCCGGTGACGGTGCCCCCTGTACCTGCGCCGGCGACGAGTACGTCGACCTTGCCGGAAGAAGGCTTCTCTGGCGTAGACGGCGTCGCCGTGATTGCCTCGATGATCTCAGGCCCGGTCGTGTACTCATGCGCTAGAGGATTGTTAACCTAAAATAATATACATGCAGCGTGAACAGCTGCCATGGTGCGGACGGCATAGATGTTGTAGACGCACGTTACTATACTGATCGAGGATAATTCCACCAGGAATCTCGCGCTGGAGCTTGTGCGCCACTCCTGCGATCGTTAAGGAATTCAGCCACGAGAGGTGCGGGAGGTGCGAGAGTAGCACTACCTATGTGAGATTCGGGCGAATCCGAGGCAGCCTCGTCGGGCGTCCGAACGACTTCTGCATCGAGGGCGCGCAGCGCGGCTTCCTTCTCCTGCAGCGTTGAGCACATTCAGCAGAGGAGCGAGAAGTAGAGTAGGTGGGACGTACAAGAGACATCTTGTTAGGCATCGTGATGATCACGGAATATCCCTTATCTGTAGTATTCAGCATATGTAGGAGCGGAGAGGAGCACTGGTTTGACCTTAACGGCGCATGCTATCGCCAGACCGATGCCTGCAAAGAAAATCAGCTTCAGACATGGGTATATGCGCTGTTTGAGCACATATATGCGCACCAGTGTTGCCAGATGTGGGCTCTATGACCACGCTCTTGCCAGGGATCAGCTTGCCCTCCTTCTCCGCCTCTTCTACCATCCGCTTCGCTATGCGGTCCTTGACGGACCCGCCTACGGAAGTGTATTCCAGCTTGCCAACTGCATCTCGCAACGTCAGCGCCTCGCCAACCGGAATTGTTTCTTAACTAACGCAAATTGCACTGTAGTCCCTCTTGCTGGGCGATCCTGTCCAGCCGGATGAGCGGGGTGTTTCCAACCGCTTCGAGGGCACTGTCGAGGACGTGTTGCGAGAAAGGCATCGCTCGATGACGCGAAGAGTGTGTGCAGATCGTGGGCGTTGAAGGAACTCAAGTGAGGAACGTAGTCGGAACGGAACTTACTAAGAGCCCCAAAGCGTTATAAGAGTGACGCGTTCCACGTGATTAGACGAAAGAATGGCGCAATGATCCTTGCAGGGTGCGCCAGAACGCGTCTCCTGGAGGAACTGTGGCGAAAGCATCCAGAGAGAGCACCGAAATAAAATAAGGATAGGGCCGGTACCGGCAGCGCCCGCTACGACGAGCAGATACATTTCTGGTCTGTATCTGACCCGTACGTTCATTCAAGAGACGCTGTGTCAGCATCGTGTATACAATCAAGTGCACGCAGTACTGTGAGTACATCGCATTGGTACGGCTTATACACATCAGTTTTTTTTTAAAAAAATTTACATTATTTATACACGGCCGAAGGCCGTGTATAAGATGTGTGAGACAACAAGTGTGGCGCAGGACTACCGAAGTAAGAGGCGAAGTAAGTTTAGCGTGTTGTATCTAGGTCCCCACGGACATAGCAGAGCAGGCATATAGTAGGGTAAGCTGTGTCATGGTCCTTGCAAACTGTCAACAAACTGGCAAGTGCATATGCACGACCCACTCCAATCCGCAGCCGCAGCCAGTCCTTTGACTCGTTAGTAATCCCTGCGTGAGTGGGATCGAACCACCAAAATACTCCCACCAGACCCCCCACACATTCCGGGAGCAGTTATAAGATGAACACCCGGGGGTAACATGGAGGAGGGCGGACCAGGGTTAGAGAAAATGCACGAAGGCGGGCTGAAGGGCGGGGGAGCAGACGTCCAAAGAGATGTCGAGGTAGAGGCGAAGGGGAAAGGAAAGGGGGGGGGACATAACTGTGTAGTCGACAACAGGTGACGCGCGGCGAACTCTACCACGCAGCAGGCCGGATAAAACAACTGGATCCCCTGCATTTAGGTGTTGCTAGGCCTGCATGTTGGTTCCGTATTCGGCGCGGGCATGCAATGTGGCGGACGGAGAGGCGAGCACGTTGTTTGGTGCCGGGCGCGCATGTGTGGCGCCGGGGTGAAAGATGCGAGAGGGGGGCTTACAAGGCAACCGGTGCGCTCAGCCTCGTCGCGGAAGATCTCAATGGGCATGAAATGTCGTTGGAGGGGCTTTCAGGTCCTCCATGGTCGTGAATGGGTACAGGCGGGGGCTGGATTCCCCAAACAGCTTTAGCCGCCCGTGGCGATGGTGGTGGCAAGCCGGAGATTGTGATCCCTTATACACATCAGTGAACGCCATGTTGTTCTTACTGCGGGTCAAGCGAGGGCGGAAGGCGAACAGTTTTCGCACGTGTTCAGGCGAGTCAAGCGGCATTTCACTGTCTAATGTGTGCGGCCGTGGCAGTTGATCTACGGGCACAGAGCATCAGAAAAATGTCACTTTTTCTTTTTTGCTTCTTTTTGTACCTTTTTCTTACAAAAAAGGCAGAAAAGAAAATAATGTAGAAATAAGCGTGAGGATCGGCTTGAATTTGCCTTGTTCGCTTCTTTTTGAGCACTTTTTGATTGCTTTCTGATCAGAAAGTTTGTGAAAAGTCCGTTCAAGGACAAAAGGTCAGAGAATCTGCCTTGGAATTTCCTGATAGGCTTCTGGGCTTTTGTTCCTTTAATGGACTTGACGACAACTTTTTGGGCAAATCAGTGTTGCCAAGCGTCGTCAAGGAAGCAAAAGGCCATGAGAAAGTGAGGAATCAGCCGATCCTCATGCTTTTTTCTACATTGTTCTCTTTTCTGCCTTTTTTGTAAGAAAAAGGTACAAAAAGAAGCCAAAAAGAAAAAGTGATGTTTTCCTGATGAGATCGTACACACCACGCCAGTATGGCACCTCACACAACGTCAAGGTGAACTTCACAAACACCTTTGGTGAGAGGAACGGCAAGTTGATGATGCAGGTGACTGCTGGTGGGTACGTGTATGTACCTGTTACAGTGTCGACTGCAAGAGTGAGCGAAACGGGCTTGGCTAGCGTGAGTGGTATTGGTGAAGCCGTACGTTGTTCTATCAATTGCTAAAGGTTTTGTATCGTGAGGCTCACTCACGGGCGTGCATCGCTAAGTCGACCCACAAGGTGAGTCATGCATTTTTCTGGCATTCATGTCTGTCTCTGACGCTCTAAGCTCTAACCTTTGAATACAGTTCACATTACGTCTGCTGTTCAATGGTCCATGGTATCTGGCATACTCTCGGTACGTACGTCTCGTGAGTTGCTGCAGTCGCCGTACCTGTCTAAGTTCTCGATACATTTTACAATATTGATTTCAACACTTGGGCACTGTTCCATTCTGACGAGTGATTGTGTTCCTTGGTAGTGCTATGGACGTTTCTGTAGATCCCAACGAATATATTTTGTTCCAATGTTATACGACGCATATACACAGCATGCATAGCAACATTTTTCCATTAGAAAACAGTAAAGAAACTCTGAAAACATATTAAGCTTTGATTTGAAAAAATGGTGAAGAATTGAAGCTTCCTCCATCATTAAATTGCTATATATGGGCATACACTACCCAAATATGAAGCAATTTACATAATAGTTTTTAACATTTTTCCAAAGCAGGGCTTTATATTCTTTAACTATATTTTCACCATTTCTTCAGTGGAAAAATATTGGTATGCACGTTGTGATAGTGACTGTGTGCCAAAGCGAGGGAGAGTCTAGGCAGCGGAGAGTTTTTTCACATCTCAGTGGAGCAATCCCATGAATCAGTGTCATTTTTCACGTGATGTCGATTTTTGCTTGGTTCTCCATCTTTTCGCTAACACCCACTACTGTCGTAGCGGAAACAGTTTGTCACCGGAGACACAGAGAATGAAGCGTTTAGTGAGGCTAGACTCATATCGGCTAAGACTACTGAGCCAGATGAAAAGCAAGAGCGGCTAATTGGCCACGCCATACAAATCACATAGAAGACCAAATATATATGTTTCTGATAGCACCGAAGCACTTGAAGTGTTTGCTGTTTCTGACCACTACAGAGCCCGAGGTTTTGCAGGCTCCTCCACAGCCTTTCTTTGGGAGTTAAAGGGAACCTTCTGTCACAGTATTAAGTGGCACCTTTCTTTTTGCACCATTAAAGTCCTCATTTGAGTGGTTATTCGGACACCAACCTTCATATTGGTCTCGCAACGTGGATACTTGGACAAACAGCACAATGCCAC